AAACATATACATACTCTTTGTTGTCAAGCTTCACCTCAGTTCCCCCATACTCTGGCAAAAGAACAGTATCGCCTTCGTTAACAGCCACTGGAATTAGCTTCCCATCCTTACTGTGAATGCCAGGTCCAACAGCAATAACTTTTCCGGAATTCAGCTAAATCAAACATGAAGAAATACATCAACTCAGCAAACCAAGAATATCATAGAAATACATCAACTTTTCCGGAATTTAAGGATTTCATTCAATAAACTTTGTGTGATCATTCCCCTGTTCATATTTGATTTCCATCAAGCACCACTCAGAATTGGGATATCATTTCACCTTTCAGAACTACTCGTCAAAACATGTTTAAGCATTTTAACTGCAAGAAGACAACAAATGTTTGAACTTGAATGTCTTTCTTATTCTGTTTTATTTGGGAAAAGGAGGGTCATAAATTCTTCCCTTGGCTTCTGAAGAAAACAACCTTAAATTTTCACTACAGAATCATTCCAATTCATTTATCTAAGCGCATTGATCAAATTTTCAGCATAAATAAGGAAATTCATGAGTTGGAGAAAATCAAAACAATACAAAATTAAAAACCATAACCAAGCAAAGGAAGGTACAAAACCTGCAACGAATTGGGGTGCAACAGGCAGTGGTGGTTCGCGGTGGTTGGTTGGGGCTCACGAATTGGGGTGCAATAGCCACTACTGGGGATGTGTTGCCTGCTGGTGATGGCTGGAGGTGGTTATTGTGCGCGGATCTAGGGTTCAGGATGAGTGGAACAGCAGAAATCAATGGGATCGAGAAAGGAATGGGAGTGGTGTTGGATGGTGGTTCGAAGGTGCGCGGTGGTTGGCGTGGTGGTGAAGGACCGGTGAGGTAATGACCATTTCCAATGAAGGGGTCGCAAATCCAATTAGGGCGCAACTGGTAATGGTGGTTTGCGGTGGTTGGTTGGGGCTCACAATAGCCACTATTGGGGACGTGTTGGCTGCAAGGTGATGGCTGGAGGTGGCTGTGGCGCGCGGATGTAGGGTTGAGGATGAATGGGAGAGGAGAAGTGGATGAGATCAATAAAGGAATGGGAGTGTTGTTGGATGGTGGTTCGAAGGTGCGCGGTGGTTGGCGTGATGGCGGAGGACCGGTGAGGTAATGACCGGTTGCAATGAGAGGGTCACAAATCAAATTGGGGCGCAATTGGTAGTGATGGTTCGCGGGGGTTGGTTAGGGCTCACAATAGGCACTAGTGGAGACGTGTTGGCTGTCGGTGATGACTGGAAGTGGTTGTGCTGCGCAGATCTAGGCTTGAGGATGAGTGGGAGAGGAGAAGCGAATGAGATGTAGAAAGGGATGGGAGTGGTGCTGGTCGTGCGGGCTTAAAGGTGATATAATTAAGTGTTAATTTACCGACGGATATATCCGTCGGTAATTAATTCTTCATTTACCGACGGATATATCCGTCGGTAAGACCAAATTCTACAATTTTATTATATCCGTCGGTAATTTCGTCAGTAATCATTAATTTTCCGACGTCTGAATATCCGTCGGTAATTTCCGTCGATAATCATTAATTTTCCGACGTCTACATATCCGTCGGTAAATATCCGTCAGTAATAAATTATTTTCTTGTAGTGAAATAACAAACAAAATGTATGATAAAGTTTTTTCAATTTTACTTCCTTATCATTGCTTGTAATATTTTTTCAATAAAAAATTACATTTTTTAAAAATTTGAAACTAAATGTCTAGAATCAATTGACTTAAAAAATAAGTGACTTATTTTCATAGGATAAAGTTTCAAAAAAAAATTAAAATATCAAAGAGTATATTTAACTGTTTTTTAATAAAAAAATTCAATGTTTTAAAAACAAAAACTTAATTGTATTCGCAAACAAGACAACATTCTTTCTTTTTAGAAGTATTTTTATATATATAGAAGGAATACATTTAGTTTGACATTTTAAAAACATTTGTAGTCTTTATTATGCTAAAATTTAATATTTTCTAACCTTAAAATTGTTGTTAATTTTTTAATTTCTTTGTTGCAGTATTATTTTATCAAACTAATTTTTGAATTATTTATAGAATTGTTTTAACACATATTAGCATTATTGAATTTCTTTTTGAACAAATAACTTTCTTCTCTTAAAAAAGTATTAATGAAGAATAATATAATTTTTTAAATTATTTTACCCTTTGCGATTAATGCATAAGTTTTTCTAACAAATATGGTATATAATCAAATGTTTTGTAAATTACCACTAAAACAGTTTTCACATTTAAATTATTATTTGACAATTTAAAATTTAAAAACTTAAAATGGACATATTTTACTATTTTATTTATTTTGATAATCTAAAACATTTTTCATGCAAACAAAATTAACTTTACATAATATTTTAGTTTTGAACACGTTTTATATTTTTTCTATCAATGTTAACCTTAAAATGAGCTCTGAAGATAAAATAAATAAAAATTATGAAATAAAGTTTACTTTATATTTTGAAACTCTTGTGTTTAAACTTTAAATTTAATGTGATTTTTTAGTAAAAAAAAAAAATTATACAGCCAGACATAATTTAAGTTCAAAGTAAAGCATCTTATTTTCTGAGAGACATTCAAATGCTTAGTCATGTGTTATTGACATTTGCAATAATAAAAAATGCCCCTTTAAACGTATCATACATATAATTAACAATTTGAATTAGAGGTAAAAATGGACAACTTTTTCAGATACCTAGCATGGGTAATAAAAAAATTAATAATTTGTGATTTTCTTTATAAGATTACATGCATTTTTTAGGCAGAAAAATGTGTGGAAGTTGGATAAAACTACTATCAACGACCAAACTCTGTTTTCAATTTAATAACACCCAATTTTGAATATGAAAAAACTGTTATTGTCGAACAATCCTATGTTCAGTATTAATTGGTGATTTGCTGATTCTTAAATTAACTTTTTTGACCCAAAAGTTAGCCACGTTGACTCCATGAGTTTTGAAAAAATAATATGAATTCCTGCTTAACTTTGAACCCTGGTTAAAGTACAACAAAACCTATTTTTCTTAATTATTTAATTCTCATTATTTAAAATATTAAAAATGATTTGGATTTTGAATTTCTGGTGTAGATTTAGTTACAAGAACATTACTATAATATTACACTACTTGTTTAGCAGCAGTTAAATTCGTTTGTTACATTGCACTGTTAATGAAAGATCGTTTTTTAGCGTTACTTAGGATTACCAATGTAAACAAGCTCTTTTATTTCCCGTTCAAAACCAACCCACATATAAGAGAGATCAAATTATTAGTTAAGTTCATTTTAACTAAAAAAATTACACATTTTTCTTTTTTAAATTTGTTGTATATCACAAATCATATTCAAAGGTCACAATCATGAATGAACTTTTTTATTTTCCCGGAAAATTAATTTATATTTCAGATAAAATTATTAGTCACATTCCACTATAAGTGAAGAGAAATTTAACGCATATGTTTGAACATTAATCTTAAATGGAAGTGCAAGAATTTTTATTTCTTACTTAAAACTAATCTATATATAAGGCATCAAATTATGATTCACACAACAGTAATCTTGTTCAAAAGTTTATGTATATATGAACCATTTTATTTCTCATTAAAAACAAACATATACTTAAAGAGATAAATTTACCAGCCACATTTCCCTAAGTATAAACTACCTTTACTTACATTTAAAAAAGTTTTTCACATCCAAGATATTACATAATCCAAGTTGATATTAATTTCAAACCGAATATTCTAAACTTAATGTTTGTAAATATCAATATTATTCACCTATTAAGTACAGAATATTACCCATAATTATCTTAACACAACACAATATTATCCATTAAGCTTCAGAGCATCCTAAGGGAGCCCCTCAAGAGTAGTGTCTTGGACAACTTATGAGCCTAAGGCTACCTTTTGAAGCTTCCCTTGATGAGTAACATGCCAATTGGTCAAATGCATTTAAAATGGCACACAATTAATTTCACAATAGACTCTTGTGATAGCCATAACACTACAAAATAAGGAGTGAAACAATTTTTGATGATGAATAATAATTAATTAGACGTGGTAAATTAGTCGCGGGGCGTTGAATTCATAAATTAAAATTCGCTTAAATTTATTTACCAAATGGTGGAGAAAGTAATTAAGAGAGAGAGAGAGAGGGAAGGGGCAAGAGAGGGGAGGGTAGAGGAAACTGGTGTCCTGAAACAGAGGGTACAGTAACATTAACATTAACATGTAACACAGAGAGAAAGGTGCAAAGGAGTAGAAAAGGGAAGAGAAGAGGAGAAGAAAAGCTTGCATATGAAGGGATGAGATGAGAATGAATATTGAGTGTTAGGGTGGCCTTTGTTGGACGTGGCGGGATTTCCGGTGCCGGACTCAGTGTCGGCTTGCATTCCTCACTCACTGCAATTCTCTCTCTTTCTCTTTCTCTTCCTCACAGAGAAGAAAAGAAAGCAGCCACAACCACAACCAAAACCACAACCACAGAGACCTACCTACTACTCCTGTGTCTGTATTGTTTAATCATTCTCTCTCCAATTTGTTATTTTTATCTCAGGCCCCCATCGTCATAATAATAATATCTTTCTCTTTTTTAATTTTTTCCAAATTTAAAAATTTCCCTTTTCCCTCTGTCTTCCGTCAACTGTAAGAGGATTGAGACAGAGAGAGAAGGTAGAACAATATAACCTCCGATACAGAAGAAAGGAAAAAGCACAGAAAGCGATACAGATTTGCCAGCCGTCGAAACTCCGTAGAACCGAATAGCACAAGCCCTGTGAATCCGGTAAGACTCGTTGGGTATTTGTTTTGTTTTTCTCTTCTTTTTATTTATTTATTTATTTATTATTTGGGGGCATGTGATATGTTCGAAAGTTGAAGACTTTTCAGAGAAAGAGAAATGTAAATGTGTTGGGTGTGTGTGCAGACATTTGATGGAAATGGGTGGATCTTTGGTTCAGCGTTCGTGAGTGATGGGGATAGTGTGGTTTGGATTGTTGTTGTTGTTGCTGCTAAGTCAGGTGACATTGGAGCAGATTGAGCCACTGAGTTCCCCCGAGGAGCGAGAATCGTTGCTCGAACTGAGGGCTTCTCTGGGGTTGAGGAGCAGGGAATGGCCAAGAAAGCCAGACCCTTGTTTACTCTGGGTTGGCATCACATGCCAGAATGGTCGAGTCGTTGGGATCAATATCTCTGGGTTTAAAAGAACCAGACTTGGGAGGACGAACCCGCAATTTGCAGTGGATGCTTTGGCCAATTTCACTCTCTTGCAGTCCTTCAATGCCTCCACTTTCCTCCTTCCTGGCCCTATCCCTGATTGGTTTGGTCTCTCCCTTCCTTCTCTCAAAGTGCTTGATCTTCGTTCTTGTTCCATTGTTAATGCTATTCCCTCCACTCTTGGCAATTTGACCAACCTCACTAGTCTCTATCTCTCTGACAACAAACTCACTGGGAATGTTCCCGAGTCTTTGGGTCAACTCTCTGCCCTTTCGGTTCTTGATCTTTCCAGGAATTCTCTTGCTGGCACCATCCCAACGTCTTTTTCCCTTCTTGGGAATCTTTCCTCCCTTGACATGTCTGCCAATTTTTTGTTGGGGCCTATTCCCCCTGGCATAGGGTCTCTTTCCAGATTACAGTACTTGAATCTTTCCAACAATGGACTTGTTTCTTTGCCTGCCCAATTGGGAGGTCTCGCTAGCTTAGTTGACCTTGATCTTAGTAAGAATTCTTTTGCCAGTGGCGGGCTGCCTCCGGATTTGGCTGGGTTGAGGAACTTGCAGCGGATGATACTTGCAAACAGCATGCTCACTGGAGTTCTGCCGGGGAGATTGTTTACTGGTTCATTGCAGCTGCAATTCCTAGTGCTGAGGCAGAACAATTTCAGTGGTTCTTTGCCTGTTGAGTTGTGGTCTCTGCCAAGATTGAGCTTCCTTGATGTGTCTGCCAACAACTTCAGTGGTCTGCTTCCTAATTCGAGTTCGGCTGCTAATGTTACAGTTGCAGTGCTCAATATTTCGCATAATAAGTTTTATGGAGGTCTCACTCCTGCTTTAGGAAGGTTTGGTTTTGTTGATATTTCAAACAATTATTTTGAGGGTAAGGTTCTGGATTTCATGCATAATGTATCTCTGGATAGCAACTGTCTCCAGAATGAGACAAATCAGAGGTCAACGGTGGAATGTGCATCATTTTATGCAGAGAGGGGGCTCGGTTTTGATAATTTTGGTCAGCCGAACACGACAAAACCTCCTGCCTCTGAAAGCTCCAGAAAGAGCAATAAGACTAAGATTATATTGGCTGCAGTGCTGGGTGGGGTGGGTTTAATCGCACTTATGGTGTTGCTAGTCGTTTTGTTGCTTCTGTGTGCTCGTAAGAGGGGTAACTCAAATCAGAGAGGAAATGGTGTGGGTCCTGCTCCTGTTGGAAGCAGTCCTCCAAACCCTGGTGTACCAATAGAATTTCCAAAGGTAGGAGACTCGTTTACATATCATCAGTTGCTCCAGGCAACAGGAGATCTCAATGATGCAAATCTTATAAAACATGGCCACACTGGGGACTTCTTCAATGGTGTTTTGGAAAGTGGGATTCCTGTCGTCATCAAAAGGATCGACATGCGGTCTGCTAAAAAGGAGGCTTACCTGTCGGAATTGGACTTCTTCAATAAGGTTTCTCATCCGAGATTTGTTCCATTGTTAGGTCATTGCTTAGAAAATGAGAACGAGAAATTTCTGGTTTATAGAAACATGCCAAATCGGGACTTGTCTAATTGTTTGTACTACAAAAACACTACATCTGAAGATGGTACTTTGCAATCTCTAGACTGGATAACCAGGTTAAAAATTGCTACTGGGGCGGCAGAGGCCCTGTCGTATCTACATCATGAATGTATTCCACCCATTGTTCACAGGTATTTCTGGATTTCCTTCTTGCTTGATGTTATATTTTGATTTCCCTATCGATTGCTTTAACAAGTATTCTGAGGCCTGATGCAGTGCCTGATTTCATAAACTATGAACTATGAGCATCTCATTCCCACTTTATCCCTATATGCATCTTTGTGAAGAGTTCAACCTTCTGAAGTGATCCTCTTTATAATTTATATGGATCCACACCGTTTGAAATAACACGGCCTAAATTGCCGTTTACCCATACTGTTTATGTCATTAAATGTGAAGGTTACTGTCATAAATTTTGGCATTTGTTTTTATATCTTTTAGGTGACTAAATATAAATTTCCCTTGCATCTAGACTTTATCATTATTATTAACTGTTACTCTGCATTTTCCATCTAATGGAGCTGTGAAAGAAAGGTTAGAGAAAGTCCAAATTGTGCCTGCATTCCCTCTAATTGATTGGGGAATCTCAACCCTGCATTGGATGAATTAGTCACAAGTTTGCATATCAAAAGTTCAATCTAAAATCTAAATGGTATGCTAGAAGTGACATGTCTATCTTCTAATTATTGAAGGGATATTCAAGCAAGCAGTATACTTCTAGACGACAAATACGAAGTTCGGTTAGGGAGTCTAAGTGAAACCTGTGCTCAAGAAGGTGAAATTCATCAAAGTAAAATCACCCGGTTTCTGCGGTTTCCTCAGTAAGTACTCTACCAACAATGTGATCAATGAATCTCGTGAAAAATATCTGTCAGGTCAATGAATAATGTATAGACAATAATGTGCTTCTTTTTGACATAATTATTTTGGCTGTTGGAAAATACTTACACTCTGAAACGTTTGCTTTTGGATTATTTATGTATTTTAGACCTGTCATGTTGTCTTTTTAATTTGGATGTTTTTAAGTAATAAATTTCACTCATTTGGCTTTCATAATGACTTAATAAACTTGCAAATTTTACATTTTTGGTCTCTGCAACTACGAAGGTTTTTCTTTACCCTGTTATTTCTTTCGCATATTCTTCCACTATGTCATTAATTCATGGTTTGGTTCCTTTATGATTTTTCAAAAAAATTTGCATTCCTCATTTATAAATTACAAATGGATATTATTTGTTATAAATTTTCTAATTTCTTACTTCTTTTTCTAACGTGCAGGTCCTCTGATCAAGGCACATCTGGTAAATAGAAACTCAATTTTAGTTTTTGGTTTAGATTCTTGGTCAATTGAGTCCTGGATTGAATGTCTATCATTCATACCTTCTACAAGTATTTCCTGCATCCTAAGAAAATGTTTTGTCTCCTACCCGAAGACCTGCAGGATGGATTCTGAATATAAGCTGTTTTGAGCACAATATACTAATCCTAATAAATGCTTCGTATTTTGAATTGTATGAGGGACTTTAGGAGCACAGAATCTTTTGTAGCAGAATTTTTTGTCAATTAGTTGATCAACCCATCACCGTGTTATGGATGGCAAGTCGAATAGATATCGGGTTTTAGTGTCAGTCCCACAAATTCTTTTGGGCATCATAGAGTCGAAAGGGAACATGTTTTGGCCTTTACAACTTTGTCCTGATAGTTTTGTGCTAGAAAATTTCATTTTCAGAAAGGCATTAATAAGATGTTGTGAATATCCAGAATTATGATATTCTATTCACTCTGATGTAGTTCAGTGATCAATGTATATGTGGGGTGAATGTACATGTACCAACTTTGAGAAGTTCCTCTGTTTCTTTCATACGAAAAGCTCGTAGTAGAATTTTGAGTGGTTTCTGCTTGTCTTTCACAAGTGCAAGTGTTTGAGTACTTTCATGAATCATTTATAAATTGATCTTTATTATATGTGCTTATTGTTTAGTGTGTTTTCCTCATTTTTGGGTCTAGGTTTGCATGAATACAGAGAAATAGATGTTGAGCTAGAGAGATAAATATATATATTTTTTCTATCTATTATTTTGACACGGATTTCATTTACTGTGAAACAGGTTCTTCGACAACAATTTGTGCCTATGACGTTTATTGCTTTGGAAAAGTTTTACTTGAACTGGTGACGGGTAAGTTGGGAATGAGTGCAGCCAGTGACACGGAAGTAAGGGAATGTTTTGATCAGATTCTACCTTACATTAATATGAATGAGAAGGAGCTTGTGACGAAAATTGTGGATCCATCGATGGTAGTTGATGATGATTTCCTAGAGGAAGTATGGGCTATAGCCATTGTGGCCAGATCTTGTTTAAATCCGAAACCTACAAGGAGACCCCCAATGAGATATATTCTCAAGGCTTTGGAAAACCCTTTGAAAGTGGTGAGGGAAGAAAGTTCCAGTTCTGCACGGCTTAGAGCAACCTCTTCCAGAGGTTCTTGGAATGCTGCTACTTTGTTTGGGAGTTGGCGTCAGAGTTCTTCTGATGTAACAGCAACTCCAGCAGCCTCTGGTACAAAACTAGAAAGAGCTAGTAGTTTAAAGCTGTCAGGAACTACCGGCTCACAGTCACAGGGTAGTTTCCACAACGGCGGCGGTGAGATGTCGTCGTCACGGAGACGACACTCAAAGGAGATATTCCCGGAGCCATCTGGCAGTCATGATGTAGAGAGGTTGGAGCTGGAGTAGAGAGTTTGAGTGATAATTTTAATTCTTTTGGCAATGAGACCTGCCCTTTTGTTCTTGTTTTTGGTGTTTGAAACTGGAACCTCTCAGTAGACAAAGCGGGTCTGAATTCCCTGAACTGATGATGAAACCTCTCAAAGGGGGTGATTGTTTTTGTTTTCAGTGATTTTGGATACGAAGTGATGGATGGAGTGGAGAGATAGAGAGATACAGAGAGCAAGAAGGCCAAGTGGTGTGGGTAGATATGGATACTTCTTTGACTTGGCTTGTTTTGGACTGAAACAAGCCCCATTTTTTCACCTGTAATTGATTCTTTTACCCTTTCTCTCGCCTCCCCTAATGGAATGTAAATTTTAATGTGTTAGGATTTCTTCATTCAGATCATATTTGTTTTTATTCTGGAAAAAAAAGGGGACACCCTCAAATTTTAAAGAATGAAAAGAAAACAGGTTCATATTGTTTCCTTTTGCCTTTTCTCTTGTTTTTGGCTTTGGAATTAGGTGATGGTTAATAACAATAATAACTGTGACATATTTTGATAATAATAATAATTATAATAATGAGATGGTAGAAACATAAAAAAAGTTATTACAATGAAAATAATAGTGATTTGTTTAATATTGATGGTAGTGATTAAGGTAAGAATAACGATGAGGGATAATAGTTACAGCACAAAAACATTCATAAGGGTGGTTGGGACAATAATAAGCAGTAATGGAGATAAGAGAACAGGAAATATGTTGACTAATGGCTACTATGTCTTATCGTCTTTTAACTCAATTCTTCTTCAAGATAAAAAAAAAAAAATGTTATATTTACAAGATAATATTGACAATGAGATAAAAATACTTATGTCGTTGTACCCAACAATTGATAAGAGTATAATAGAATAATTATTTTATCTTATATTGGAGGTTGAAGATTTTAAAGTAAATTTCAATAATATATATATATATATATGTATATTTTTTTTTAATTTTAACTTATCCTATGAAATAATTTAATGAGAATAAATAAGTATTTTATTGTAATACTTTATTTTCAATTTAGGTAAGTTAGATTTTTATTTTCTATGAAATTAATTTTATAAGAAACATAAATAAAATGTACTTCCGTTTAATAGTAAAAATAAATGTTTTCAACCTCAAATTTTCTATTATCAAATTTTTTACCAAGTGCCTTGTGTGCACAATCATTAATATTATTTGTATTAATATTTTCAAAATAAGATTATCCATTAAATCATGAATTCAAAATTTAAATATTTAAATAATCAAATTTAATAAAATAATAATTTTATAATATCATAAATATATAATAAATTTATTAATAAATATTATTTTATAAAACATAATAAAAATTAGTAAGATAATCACCAATGAATATTACAAAAATTTAAAAATAAATAATAATTAAAATAAAACAAAAATACAATAAAATAATTATTATTTAAAATAATACAAAAATATAATAAAAAACTATTATTTAAAATTAACAATATATATTATATTATATTTATTATAAAAAATTATATTTAAAATAGATCTAAAAATTCAATATATTTTTTTAAATTTTATAGATTTTATATCATTTAATTAAAATTTAATTATTTACAAATAATACCTTATTTCGTAATTGACCTATATAAATCGACTAGCGCAATTTTTAAAAATAATATTTTGTATGCATGTGATACCTACGCTTTTATGATGAACATTTATTTACACACATTTTAATAAAATAATTATATTTTACTAATTTTCATGACAAAATGATTTTTGCTAATTTAAATTATAATTAACGAACAACATGTTTGATTTGTTGGCTCTGATTTGTGTTGTATGATCCCATGGAATTAAGCTCTGATTTGTATAGCAGTTTTGTTTTGTGTGAGTCCAAGTACATATAATGTATGTATGTTTTAATCTATTTTTTTAGTTAATCATATTTTAAGAATGTCTCGACTTTTATTAAATTTTGGTTTAGAATTATTTTAATATGTTAAAATGTTTTTAGGTTATTTTTTAATTGATAAAACTGTAAAATAATAGATTAATTTCATTTAATCGTGTCTTTCGAAGATTTAATTGATTAGATCACTTTTTTTATCTGATAAAATGTTTTTGGTAATACTGTTAAAAAAAATGTAATTCACTTTTCTTATCTATTAAAATGTTCTTGTAAGTTAATGAATTTTTGTATTAATTGATTATTTAGAGGTGTTATCAATTACAATAACCAAAAACATAAATGAATTATATCTCACTATTTTAATCGATTCATCTTTTTATTTATTAATTAAAAAGTCTTTTTACGGGTAGAGCAATTTATTTCATTTTAATGAATTAGAAGTATTTTTATCAATTAAAACAACTTATTAAAAATTTTGTAAGATTTTACCTCTATGTTTTAATTTATTAAAACCATAAAATAGTCTATTAATTAATTATTTTAATGAAAATAATCTATTAAATGCATATTTAATAATTTAAAATTGATATTTTTTTTTATACAAATAGTTTTGATCTCTTTTCAAATATACCAGTTCTAAATGGAGACTTAGGCACACTTTTCAATTTGAATTAATTCAAAAAATTGTTGAAATATTTTTTTTTTTTTACATTCTTTGAGAGATTATTTAGAGTTTGTGTTTTTGCACTTAAAATATTTTTTTGAATAATCTTTTCCGGTGATTTCTGTTTTTTATTTTTTTTAGTATTTTTAGATGAACTAATATAAAATCTTATATCTTTCTTCTTTCTATCTTTTAATTATTACATTAATCATCAATTAATTTTTAAAATGGTTCGTATGTTATTTTAGAATTAATTTAATTTAATAAAAATTTCAAAATTTTTTATAAGATCAATGCACCGTTCTTTCAATCATTATTATATTAATTAAAGGAGTTGTCTAATTATATTTTTTTATGACTAGTGGGAAAATATGATTATATGATGACTTTTTATCACGGTTGTAATTCACCGTCATAGTATATAGGGCGGTGGTGTTTTTGTAATAATATTATGAACTTTTTATGTCGGTTGTTATGTAACCGGTATGTGCGCAAATTCACTTTTTATGTCGGTTAAAATTTAATCGACATAGAAAGTAAACTTTTATGTCGGTTAAATTTCAACCGACATAAAAAGTACTTTCTATGTCGGTTAAAATTTTACCTACATAGAAATTGTATATTAAATCAAAAAAATTAAATATATAAGTATATAAATATTTATATATCAAAATATATAAATATATTTGTATTTACATATTTTGTATATAAATATAATTTATTTGTAAATTATGTATCGGAAAATCGTAGTAGTTTAGTGGTTGGAGTATCAGTCTTCAACTTTAAGGTATTAGGTTCGAATCTTGTCAAGTAATAAATCTCTTAAAAATATAATATAAATAAATAAATAAAAATCATACTGGTTTCGAATCCTACTAGTGACAATTTTCGTAAAAAGTCATAATATGTCGCGATTTTTGCACTAGTTTGTCAATTGTTTTTAATTAAACTATATAATACAATGGATTAACTAATGCATTGTTTTAGCTTAAATATCAATAAGGTTATTGGATAAAAATAATCAATGATGACAAAATTTGAATAATTTTGAGATAGTTTCTAACATTAAACACATAAATATGTTTAAAATACTGTAAAATGAATATATTTTAATTTTAGTCGTTATAATTTTTTTATTTGTTCCTAAAATTGAAAATAAATATTTTTAGTATCTAATATTGTGTCATATTTATTAATTGTGTTGTGTGTGAAATGAAAAGTTAACTGATATTTTAAGTAATGCACAATAGTAGTGATATAATATCAATAACTAATATCTATAACAAAAATTTAATATAAGTAAAATACATGTTATTTGTTTATCTCAATATGGATGTTAGAGAAAATATTTTTTTAAATGAAAATGATGAAAAAGAAGTATAAAGATTAAAAAAAAAATTATACTTTATTAAAAAGATAAAGATAATCGTTTTAAAATATGTAAAATACATATTATTTGTTTATTTTAAAATGATGTCGGAAAAATTAGTTTCTTTTTTTAATAAAAAGGATAAGAAATAATTATAAGGATTAAAATATAAATTTATGTATTCTATAAAAAATAAAGATAATAATTTTAAAATTTACAGGTAAATTTGTATATCAACTAAAATAAAAAAATTAAAAATGAAGATAAAGGTCCCACCGAGATTTGAACTCGGGTTACTGGATTCAGAGTACAATGTCCTAACCACTAGACCACGGGACCTTTTTGTTGTAATTGAACACTATAAAATAATTAACCAATGTTGAGTGATATAACAATAGATTGAAAATTAAAAGCTGTGTGTTATTCATTTGTGGTGGTCTCTGAAAATTCCAACTTTAAATAATTGTTTGGAAGTACTTCATTTGAAGAAAGTGGCTTTAAATTTGTATTGTAAAATAGTTTCTTTTGCAAAATTTCTGGATAAGGCATATTCGATCACAATCTATTGCCAAAGTTTCAACACATATGCATTGAATTAAATATTAAAATAAAAAAAATATTTTTTATTACAAATATGTAGATGCTAAACCATAAATATTAAAACAAAATAAATCTTTTTTTATAGATTTATAGAAAAAAATTAATTGTTACAATTTCATTATAAACATCTCCCCTATATCAATAAAATTGTTTGTGTACGTGATATTTAACATTTTTTATTTTATTTTATAAATGTTCTTATGTACCTTAAATCTTCTTATGCAATTTGAAAGTCTTGTTTAATGTTTTAATGAATGATCCTTTTAAACCTAAATTTCTTCTTTAACCTATTTAGTTCATGTATAAACTATAAAGTCATATATCAAACAAGGAGAAAAAAACATTATTGCATTACATCTTATTTTTCTATTGTAAATTACACTCTTAATGTCTTTAAAAATTATAATTAGATCCTCTACTTTAAATTTAATTTCTATGAGATTGATTTAAAAAAAATGACTTTAATATAATTTTATTAAATTTTAATATAATATAATTTCAATTGTAAGTTATTTTTACTCTTAATTAATTTGTGATATGATAGTTAACAAAACCCCTATTTGTATATTAATTGGATTGGACACTGGAGAAGACAAATAATATGATTTGAAGTATTTTGAAAATATGGTTGAAGAAGAGGAAACGCAATTGAAAACATTCAATACCCGTGAACACGAGAGCCTAATTTTTCACGTACATGGACTATTCCTTTATTATTACGCGCTCGTAACATTCTCGTATTGCGCTACGTAGTATTTGTAGAAATACCATACTAACTATGCTATTATGTCTTGTTCATTTTATTTAATTGTTAAAACTGACCAGGGTGTGGTTTTTAGAGTGTAAGAAGTTTTAGCAATGACATAGATTTTGAGTTGCATTTGCAGGACATTGGAAGTTAGTTTTTGTAGGTGGAGCTAGTTTAGTTGGTGGAAGTAATGGGCAAGTATGAAAAGGGAATGAAAATGGCATATTGAAACAGATGATTTGGTGGTGAGTTACGTTGGAAAATCACGTTTACGTCCACCACCCACACGGTCAATTTGTCTTCTACGTACACACCCAAGCCTCGTCCTTTCACCAAATCACAACAGATAATTATGTTTCAACTTCCACCACCTTATCTCATTCGCTCCAATTCAAAGCAATGGAAATATTTTCAATCTCCCTGTTTCATTCTCTCTTACACACCTCACATGTTTTGTAAACCTTGATTTGTTTAGAAGTGATTATAGTAGTTTTTTTAGCGTATTAAAATATTTAATTATTTTAGTTAATCAATTTATACTGAATAAAACTCTAGACAGAAATTTAACATGTTGAATTGTAATTACATTACAGTCCCCACGGTGACCACATGAGCGGGCACGGTGAGGGAGCGTGTGAGAGTGGCATTTATGTAAATAGAGTCCCACTGGACCCAAAACTGAAATCGTGGTGTTACTTGTTTTGCTTTCGCTTTTGTATCCGTTGAAGAAAGTTGAAACCTCGCTTTTCCCAATATTCTCGTTTCTTTTCTTTTCCTTTCTTTTTCTTCTTTTTTTTTTTCTCCTTTTCTTCTTTCATTCTATTCATTCTTCAATTCTCAAGCAACCACTTCACTCCATCCCAGTTTCCTCAGCAGCAACAACAACCAAACGCCATCAACACCGCATACTCGCATCTGCACTCCATTCCAATCTCGCATACAAATCCAAATCAACAATGGCCGCATCCGCCACCGTCTCCGGCGGTGCGCTGTCGGATCTAACTCACCCAACCCCCTTTCTCGGCCTGAAACTCTACGCCCTGCTCCTCATTTTAGTTATAATGGCGGTGGCAACGGTGCTCCTGATCCTCCTCTGCGTCCGCCGGAGCTCGAAGAAGCGGAAAATGCGAGTGAAGCACAGCTCCGGCGCGATCCCGCTGGTGTCGAAGGAGATCGTGGAGGTGAATGCTCTGGAGCTGAAAATCGAAGAGGTGGATGAGGAGGATCCGAAGAAGAAGGAGACGGAGCTTGAAGAGAGTGCGTCGGTGGAGTCACCGAACATAGGGTGGGGACGCTGGTATAGCCTCAGAGAGCTTGAGAGTGCGACGCAAGGGTTCGCGGAAGGGAATGTGATCGGAGAGGGAGGGTATGGGATTGTGTACAGAGGAGTTTTGCTCGACGGTTCTGTCGTCGCTGTCAAAAATCTTCTCAACAACAAGTATGTATTTGTCACCGTGTTTTTCTGTTTCTCATTTTCATCTTTTTTCTCACGTTACTCTTACTCTTACTCTGTAGGTTTCTTATATTCGTGTGTATATAATGCAAATAATGGAACAGTGTGTCACACGTGTTTCTTAACATAACTAGACAGAAATTTCTTAAGTAAATCTTGATATATGAAGGAATTAGTATATGAATATCGAGTTGATCAGAATTGATCTTAACAATGAGGGAGTGGTCTTTTGCTCTCCGACAGGGATTGTCTCGAATTTATAATTATGAGTTGTTAATTGTTTCGGGGAGTATTAAGCACTAAGGTGAGTGGACGGTCAATATGTTCTTCTTTGCTTTTTTTTTTTTAGCTGGCCTGGGGGATGTTATTGTAGTGTTTTACTTTTTTTCTTTGCCCACTTTTGCTTTTTTGTTTTATTTATTATATTATTCGTGTTTTTTGTATCTTAACTTTTTCTTTTCTAGGCATGTTAATTTATCTTGATCCGGATAATACTTTAGTTTAAAGTTTAAACAAACGTGTCAGTGGCTGTGAATTAGGTGGGCCAGAGAGAGAACTGATGGTAATATTAACTAAAAGCTTCATGTTACTCTTAACAAAAATGAACTTGGATCTTCTGTTGTTTTTTTTTTTTTTTTTTTTTTTTAAGTAGCGGGGGTGCGATAATCACGTTAGAAAGTGAGAAATATATTTTTTGTCAAATATAATTTTGGATCTTATTGTTGGATAAAAATTGTGTTCGTTTTCAATGTTACTCTATATAGAAGAGATCAAAATCTAACAAAAATGGCAGCTACAGATTTGCACGACATCTGAACTAGCGGTAATAAATTAGGAAGTAGTATTGTAGAACTCTAGACTAGTGGAAGCATTGCAAAGGTAGTTTTACCACCGCAACTTTGCTATGCAATTCTATAAATCTCTTTCCTGAAATAATCGAACATTTTTAATATATTCTTTCTTCCCCACCCACCTACCATGGCTCATTGAAATTCATGTGTGTTATTGTATTGTTACTTAGGGGGCAGGCAGAGAAAGAGTTTAAGGTGGAGGTTGAGGCCATTGGAAAAGTGAGGCATAAGAATTTGGTGGGGTTAGTTGGATATTGCGCAGAAGGGGCTCAAAGGTAAATTTTTTATGTTTAATTCTTTTCTTTGAAGGTCTTTCTAATGAAGAAACTTGTGAAAATGACACGTTTGCTGACTATTCATTCAGGATGCTTGTTTATGAATATGTTGACAATGGAACATTGGAACAGTGGCTGCATGGTGAAGTAGGACCTGTTAGCCCCTTGACATGGGATATAAGAATGAAGATTGCTGTTGGGACTGCGAAAGGGTGTGTTTATGGAGTTTCCTGTCTCGTTTTGTTGAACATATACCTCAAACTTCACTCATGCCAGCTACCTCTAATTGTAGTATAATGCTTGCCAACTGATATATTACTATTTTTAACTAAAAGTATTTCTAGTACAACTCTCATCATGCTCCGTTAATATGAATTTTCTATTGCCTTAAATGTTCTTTCGTGGAGTATTCATGAACCTTCCTACATCACGAACAGGCTAGCGTACTTGCATGAAGGATTAGAACCCAAAGTTGTCCACCGAGACGTAAAATCCAGTAACATTCTTTTGGACAAAAAGTGGAATGCTAAAGTATCAGACTTTGGACTGGCCAAGCTCTTGGGGCCTGAGAAAAGCTATGTGACAACGCGTGTAATGGGGACATTTGGGTTAGTTTCAGTCTCAAATAACGTTCTCTAATATGGAGGTGGAGTCTATTTATCTATTTTATTTAACATTTTATGCAGATATGTGTCACCTGAGTATGCAAGCACGGGTATGCTTAATGAGGGCAGCGATGTGTACAGTTTTGGGATTCTACTTATGGAGTTAATTACTGGAAGGAGTCCCATTGATTATTCTAGACCACCTGGAGAGGTGATTCAAGGATTTCTCTATCTTTTCTTTACTGTCTCCCCTGAAATTCCAATGAGTCTTATGTGTGTGCTTTGATTGGTGCGCTTCAGATGAACTTGGTTGATTGGTTTAAGGGAATGGTTGCAAGTCGTCGTGGTGATGAGCTAGTTGATCCTTTAATAGATATTCAGCCCTCTCAAAGATCTTTGAAACGAGCTTTACTGGTTTGTCTGCGCTGTATAGACTTGGATGTCAGTAAGCGACCAAAGATGGGCCAAATTGTTCATATGCTCGAGGCTGACGATTTTCCCTTTCGTTCTGTAAGCTCCCTATGCTTTCATCTTCTATGCTTATTAAGACAAAAACACATGTGATGCATAAGTTACACACAGTTTTGACACTAAATGTCTCATCCTAATCTACCTACCTCACTGAAAGATCCACAATAAATTGTAGTATAACTTCTACCAACTGAAATGACTTGCTTTGCTTACTGAATAGGAACATCGAGCAAATAGAGAGAAAGATCCCGTTCATTCTAATTCTGCTTCTAGCAAGATTCCATATCCAACAAGGCATATAGAGCCCGTAGATAAATCAAGCTGGAGATGATTATCTGCTATGCTGCTCATGGCAACCCAAGTTCAAACTATTTCTTCCAACGCTGTTCAATTTGTTGTGAAAAAAAATAGAAGCCATTGTGCATATCTTATAATAGTGTAGTTTCATCTCTGTAGGAGGTCTTAGCATCTTTGCTGCATGGCATTCATTATCTTGTGAAGGAAACGAGCCTTGTAAATATGAATTTCCCACAACATATAAATTTTAACAGACTGCATGCAGCATCAGATAATATTTCAGCAATATTGCTGATATTTATTCATATATGTATGGTTATGATACGACTCTTGCGCTCATTCGTACATGTCTTTTGTCATACATAATTTTGTAGACGCAGGTTGGTCAAAATAATACTAAACATTAAATTTTATTATTAGCATATGGTTTAAACTATAATTTGTTTTTACCAGTTTTTTTAATTTGATATTTTAGAGTATAAATGGATTTCACGCTTTTCTCCTCTAATTAAGATTAACTTAACCTCAATTTCCAATATTTGCTTTTTTTGTCATTACTGCATCTACACTTGCATAGTAGTCATCTCGGTCCTGCACTATGCTTTAATTTTATTTTGTTTTTTACTTATGGTTATATCATGTTGCATTCTATAGCAATAATCTTTCCCCATATTATATGAATCATATATAGAATCCTGATGCAATTTTTTTTTTTAAATTTAATACAAAATTAGATTACAGGTTGTAGTAAAAAAAATACATTAGAAGACAATAAAATATGCTGGGAATTATCTCTGCGGTGGATAGAAATTACCTATCTCTTGTTTCTATACCTATCCCCTCTAATAAAAAAAATTCTACAACAATTTATTTAATAAATTATTTAAATCAAACTTAAAATTCTATGAAAAATTAATTAATCTCCTTCGTCTTTTATTCTTATCAATTTTTCCTTTCTATTAAAAATAAATACGTAATTTGTAACGGATCGGATCAGAAAAATGGACGTTTAATATGGAAATTTTATAAATACTACACTTTATATGAAATCTTTGATTATATTAACTATTTTACATCTATCAACATAATAATTTGATTACATAAATAACTTTTTTCTATTTTTTTCTGACAAATAACTTTAGGCTATGTCAAAAAATAAATTAAAAAAAATTAAAATTAATATAATAACACCAGTAAGATAAACATGTATTCTTTTTCTAATAAAGAGTGTTAAATTTAAACCGTAACGAGGCAAACGAAATTAAAACTTGAATTATATCACATGATTAAAACTAATAGATTTAAAATGATTAAATAGATCATTGAAAAGTATTTTTATTTTTTAAAATAAAACACGTAATTTTTAATTATAAATACAAACGGTTCAATTAAATGTAATCATGGAAGTGTACACTAAAAAAGGGTAATCAAATTTAGAGAGTTATATTATTTTTATTTTTTAGTTTATGTGTTTCATATAGGTAGCACATAACTATTATTACTTAGAGAAATAAATCATAATAAATTTCAATAAGCATTAATTCAATTAAAGATATAAGTCATTTTTTTTTCAATTTTAATGTAATTGTACTTGATATTTTATTAAATATTAAAATTTTTGTTGTTGATGTTTATAATTTTAAGAAATAATAAATAAAAATATAAAAAAGATATAATTTAAACCAATCTATATATTATTATAGCGGTTTATAATCTAGTAATACTTTTTATCCTTCTTTTCTTTTTGAACGTTGGAGTGTGTGTGTACATGCTACCTAGACCATAATTTATACAAACCCAAAGACCAAAACATGAATACAGAAAATCCTTGAAAGCGCAAACACAATTTCAAAGTTTTGGTAAAGGATAATCACTTTCTTGGCACAACAATGTTAAAGAAATTTGAAATTTTGTAAAGCATGTTCTGCCACATATGTTTGGTTGAAAGTTTAGAATGGGGTCCTTAACTTTACGAAGATTGAAGTGACGAAGGGACTATTATAAGCATAGCAATGGCTCAACGTAAAATCCACGAAAGTCGCCACTTGACAAGGACAAGTTCTACGCTGCCACACCACTTTTTTGTACAATTTTAAAACCCAAACACTTGTTTCACCGTTCACAATTGTTTCAACCGTTACAATATAATACTTCTACTCAATCTTTATACCCTACTTATAATAAGTCTTGTTATGCTACACTACACACACTCACATACTAATTATTTTAATTTTTGTCGGTTTTGCTTCTCTCCTTTTATATAAGAGCACACCACCTCTTCTCGCATACACACTTCCAAGTTGAAGATCGGTGAGAGGAAGAAGGCAATGGCTTCTACCACTCCTTCTCGATCAATTCTTCTGTTCCTTTCTTTGTTCGCCGTCGCTCTCTCCCTTGCAAGTTAGTTACTTCTTTCACTTCAATTCACTCTTTTTCCAACCGTTGCTGTTTTACTGTTTAACTTTTCCTCGCTTTCAAGAAAAGCAATCTTACTTTTCTAACAGTGCAACTCTAATTCATCCTCTTCCACTCCTAATTTCTTTAACTTCTTTTTCTTGCAGACTCTCAATCTTTCATCGGAGTAAACTACGGCCAGCTCGCCGACAACCTTCCGCCGCCGGACTCCACCGCCGGCCTACTTAAATCCACCTCCATCGGAAAAGTCCGTCTCTACGGCGCCGATCCCGCCGTCATCAAGGCCCTCGCCAATTCCGGCATCGGGATCGTCATTGGGGCAGCCAATGGCGACATTCCGAGTCTGGCCTCCGATCCCAACGCGGCCACTCAGTGGGTTAACGCGAACGTGTTACCCTATTACCCCGCCAGCAACATCACTACCATCACCGTCGGCAACGAGATTCTAACCCTGGCTGACCAGGGTCTTGTCTCGCAGCTCGTGCCGGCGATGCGGAATCTCCAGAATGCTCTCAACGTGGCCTCTGTGAAGATCAAGGTCTCCACGGTGCACTCCATGGCCGTGTTGACTCAGTCGGATCCACCGTCGTCTGGGTTGTTCAACCCGGCGCTCCAGAACACGCTGAAAGAGTTGCTGGCGGTTCTGAAGGATAACAAATCGCCGTTCACGATCAACCCGTACCCGTTCTTTGCTTACCAGAGCGACCCGAGACCCGAAACGCTGGCGTTTTGCCTCTTCCAGCCCAACTCGGGGCGGGTCGACTCGGGCAACGGAAAGCTCTACACGAACATGTTCGATGCCCAGGTCAGTACAGTAGTTGTCACTGTTTTTTCGCTTTTTTTTTTTTTTTTTTCAATAAAAAGTTGACGTGGGAGTCAACTAGACAATCATCCTCTGTTTTCCACATTCCATCCACGTGTCTACAGTCTTTGCCCTTTGATATTCATCATTTCAAATCCTCCTCTTCTATCTATCCTTTGCATTTGTAGAAGGACTTCAAGTTTAAACATTTAATCATGTATTATAATCAATATTTTTTATTACTATAATTAATAATTAATGCGAATTTCATTTTCACACACTTTCTTGGTGCATATTGCAACTACAACTATTTGTTTTAGAGTTGGTGGAATTTATTCTAATTAAATTAATGTTAACCGTTACACGTACTTAAATCTTTAAACAATTATTTCGCTTTGTGAAACCCGGGCCTGCACACATGTTGAACCTTGATTCTTCAAGTTAGGGTGAGTCGCATTTACCCATGACGTGATCTTTTTGCTCAGTTTGTTTTTTCCTGTTATTACTGTAGTGATGATTAATATAATAATAATATAATGCTTATTTCTTCCCATTTTTCAACTGAAAGTCATTTGATTGGGCTACATATATGACTTGATTGATTATTTAAGTTTTACTTTTTGGCCATGGTGCTGCAATGAGAGTAATGTTGTTTATACAACTCGTTGATTCACAATATTTCATCATTTACCGATAAAATAAAATAAACTTGTCATGGATGATATAGTTTTGTCTCATTTTATAATAACTTCTTAAGATGGCTTCAATTTTTAATCAATCTTTACACAACACTGCATTAATCATGCTATATGTTTCATTTGAGTTTTTAGATGACTTGAACTTTCCGTGTTAAACTGAAAAGTAGATGTAGGTAGTAATACGTAAGGTTGTGTACAATTGTCAATAATAGATTTGCGTAAGTAGAATGACTTGATATGTGAGTGCAAAGAAATTTTTTACTAGGATTCTGGATTGACCTCACCCTGGTGTCATAACTCAAAATAAGAGTGGATTTATTCTTATCTAGTTGAGTAATATCAGTGCATACCCTCACTGACTCTGATTGGAGACAGGCTGGCTACACATAGTGTGGTCACAAAACAAGTCCTTTCACCAAAGGATCAATAATTGTTGCCATGTTGGGCATAGATAAAGAAAATGGGTCTCAGGGAGTGATTATGGTAGGTAAACCCTTGTCTTTTTTTAATCTCTTGGAATACCTTTGTTCTCCCAGCAACCTACCACTTGGTCCTATTCAATTGCCCCGTTGATTTTAGCATATGCAATAACTCTAATTTACCCTTGATCTAGTCTTTAGTGGCTTCGATTTCTAGCAGTTCAAAATTTGGTTGGTGCACAATTTATGCTGCTAATTAAATCAAAATGGAAATCCCTTATCCCTTTAATAATCTCATCTGTTTTATTAAACAGTGGTGTTGTCCTTACTGAACTTTCTTCTTATTTGGTTGTGAATGTTGAGCAGGTTGATGCTGTACATTCTGCTTTGAGTGCCATGGGCTTCCAGGACATCGAGATTGTGGTTGCTGAGACTGGATGGCCCTCACGTGGTGACAGTAACGAAGTAGGACCCAGTCTTGAAAATGCAAAGGCCTATAACGGGAACCTGATTAATCATCTTAGATCATTGGTTGGTACACCTTTGATGCCTGGGAAGTCTGTGGACACTTACATTTTTGCACTCTATGATGAGGATCTCAAACCCGGCCCAGGATCTGAGCGCGCGTTTGGGCTGTTCAAAACTGATGGCACCATGGCATACGATGCTGGCTTAGTCAAGTCTAGCCAGCAGGTGAGGAAATTGCTACTTTAGGCAGGAGCATAGTGTTGATGTCTTGTATGATTTTTCATAACTCGCAACCTTATTTTGTGTCCAGACTCCATCAACTAGTCCGACAACTCCGGTTACTCCAGCACCTAAGACTGCTGGATGGTGTGTACCCAAAGCTGGAGTTTCTGATGATCAGTTGCAGGCCAATATTGACTACGCCTGTAGCCAAGGCATAGATTGCGGACCAATTCAACCAGGAGGTGCTTGTTTTGAGCCTAACACAAGAGCATCCCATGCTGCATTTGCCATGAATCTCTACTACCAAACATCTGGAAAAAATCAATGGAACTGTGATTTTTCTCAATCAGCAACACTAACATCCCAAAATCCAAGTAAGTTTTCTGGACACTGAATTAACACTGAAAATTTTCAATTTTTAATGTTGTGGTAGTCTCCATTCCACTTGTTAGTTAATGAGTCTCTAATACCACTTGTCTTGTATTAATGTGAAAAATCAAAATAGTTCCAGCAGTTACATATCATTTAGGATTAATCCAAAATGAAAATCTAGCCATAGAAGTTCAACTGGTCAAAATAGTTCCAGCAGTTACATATCATTTAGGATTAATCCAAAATGAAAATCTAGCCATAGAAGTTCAACTGGTTAAAGAATACTATTGTTTAGTTTGATAGGAATAGAATCGGGAGAAAAGATAACATTGTCTTAGCTGGCACAAACGTGTGATGCTGAAGTTACCAAAAGCCTTATGGCAAAAGGTTACTTTTATATAAGAAAAGACTACAGCTTTTGACATTTTAGGTGGCGTTTGTTTGGTGAATGATTGGAAATTGAATTATATAATATATAGGCTTTTGGCTTTGGTTCCTAATCAAGGCATGTTCTACATCCCTATACTGTGTCTCAGTGTCTGTGGGTTGTCTAACTTGATTTGCTCTTATTGCTTCTAGGTTACAATTCTTGCACATTCGCCGGTGGGAGCTCCTGAAATCAGATGCTTTGAACTAATAAATTATGTGGATAGCATTAAATTAATGAATAAGGGCCTATGCTCTGTCCTCATTTTAGTTATTGGCCTTTCAATTTTTATATAGCTTTAATTGTAGAGGTATGTCCCACTTCTGAGTGTGGCAATCAACAATTGTTTCCTTCAATTTTACGATCCCCCAACCCTCTCCCATTTTTTCAATTTGAATATCTTCCAAATATGATATGCTCATGATTTGTCTTTTAAAACTTAGTTTTTTGTATTTTTATATTTTTATATTTTCTCACTTCATAGTATATGATTAAGAGGAAAAAAATTCATTATTTATTTGTATTGTATAATGACAATCATTATGCAACATTTTTTTTTTCCTAAACAGATCAAATGAAATGGACAAAAGGAGTATCATGTATTTTTGGTGTGGATAGAAATAATAGTACTGTAAGGAGACTATTCTAGCACCACCGAGTATGGTGTAAATGATGTGATGAAATTTATTTAGAGAATTACTACGCAAGCTTGGATCTAAATAATTTTATCCATTAATAACGAGTCAACAAGCTTTTTAAAAAGTTATTAAGTAAGATTTTAGGAAGAAGTTTAACTTAAGAATTGCTTGCATCTCCGGCTTTAGTCTGTAACCAACATCATGTTTTCTTATACCTGAATCTTCTCATCGATTGCAGGATGTTTTTCATGAAACAAGTGAACCTACGAAAATAATATAGTTTAGGATAATCTAGAGGATTGAGGCATTTAATGCCACACTGGTTAGTTGTTGACTTTTAACTCTTTTTTTTATGAGCACTAATGATTATTACCTTAGTGATAGAAAGTTAATCATAGAAGATAAATTCATTTTAGTCACTTAAATTTAATGTTTAGGATTTTTTTTTTCATTTTAAGGGGAATAGAAAAACTCTTTTAAATTTGAGTACCAAAATTAGATTTATCTTAAATTTTTAGCACTAAAAGCTGATTTTTTTTTTATCATAAATTTGCTTGCGCTAAATTTTTGTATCAATACACTTAATAATGATTTCAAATAGATGCTACATGTATAATGTTGTGTGGTTCCTCTAAACAGATACAGTATGTGTCTTAAATTAACATAGAAATAAGTATTCAACAATCCGTTGTCGTCCAGCGGTTAGGATATCTGGCTTTCACCCAGGAGACCCGGGTTCGATTCCCGGCAACGGAAAAGTTTTTTTCAGGAGGAAGTAAATTTGAAATTTACTACCTTTGTTCACTGGTGACCAAAATAAATAAGTGAAAACCTTATTATACACGTGTTATATAAAATTTAACTAAGTTTGATATAAATAATTGTTAGCTTTAATAGAATTGAGAGCAATTAATATTTTAGTTTTTCCAAAATATAACTATCGTAAATAAAATTAATAGGAACGTATTTTGAAATTATGCAACTTTTAAAACTTCTTAATTTAATATAGAAGATGGTTTTTGAATGTGAGTTTAACCTAAAAGTTGTTTTTTATTCGGTGAGCATATAAATACAACTTGATTTAAGTACTGTAATTCTGGTCCACAGTTCATAAGAAGGGAAATTGGCTAACCGGTGCACTGTTTGTGGCAAATTCATGCTCAGCTTTATGCTGCATAATTGCAAACACGCTCAGAACACTTGAACCATTTACTTGTACATCTTTGTCCATTGTTTTAGATGGAATGTAGCAAACATGTATTTGCCATCCTTGGAAGATTGGAAGAATGGGTGACACTGACTGAGGAAATGATTTCTGAAAATGCCATAGAATTCATCAGATCTTTTGATGCACCCGTCTCCATCTGGGGGCGTGCTGACCATTAGGTGCACTTTTTTCTTATGTTTTTCTGTTTGAAAGATAAGTGATAGTAATAATATACTGAAAACAACTGTTATAAAACGCTTGGAAGAGCATAATATATATAATTTTTGTAATTATATCACACATGCGATTTGTATTTACATAAACAGACAAATTTTAGTGAAATACTAATCTTGACGCATTTTTTTAATAAAAAAACTATTAAAAAAACTTGTAAGAAATTATAAATGAATACTTCTGTGACTTGATTAGGTGTAAAACATATTGAGATTTAAATATTGAATGAGTGTTTTAATTAATTGACTTATTCATCACCATAAGAAATTTCATATTCAAGCAGAAACTATTTGTGTACTTTTCATTTTTACATCCTAAACATGAATATAAAACTCCTATAGAAAACTCAGGAAGTGTAAATGTAACATCCTAATATAAAAAACTGAATCAAACATAACCATGTCTCCTGTACTAAACAAATTATGTTCAACAAAATCCAATTCTTTGATGAGACAAACATTAATTAAGGGAAATCCTCGAAAGTTCATCTTACTTGACAGCTACACGAAAAATGAAGTGTATTTATGAGGGAGTGTAGTGCAATAGGCCGGAGGCGATAGTTGCAGTATCGTTGCTAGTCTAACAAGAATGCAGTGAGTAAAGGACAAACAATTACAATTTTGAAATTCTTTACAAACATCAATCTACATGCCTGCTTAACTCCAATCTCATTAACCAAAAAGAGGGTTGAATTGAGTCAATATTTCTTGACTCAATGGGCTAGCCACTTGCCACAATCTCATGAATGGCATCGCTGACAGTTTCATCCTCCGATCTGACAGAAAGTTTCATGGCAACATCCTTTGGACCATCAAGTCCAAAAGACAACCGCACAAGCACCTTAACATTCCCTATGAATACACCTGACAATAAGCATGTGTGTGATCTTGAATTGGGGGGAACCTCCTCTGTTCCCTGCACACAATCATTAGAACAATCATAATGTTGCAGCATCCGACAAGCACAACAATAAAACTTAAACAATTGTATGGGCACTTGCTTTCTCATAATGAGTTTAACAATATTAGGCACTAATAGTGGTCAGTAGATTTTAAGTGGGTCGTAACACGGATAAAAGATCTTACTCATGTGATCATATAATATTGAATGAAAAACATACATAAAATCTTTTAAAAAGTATCCTTAAAAATAAAATATGAATAATATAATTAAATTTAATAAAATAAATTAGTATACATTAATTTTATTTATTTAATAACAAATTATTATAATCGGTAAATAGTTGGGTCTTACATAATATCAAAAGTTAAATAAGTAATGATTATTAATCAATTAATGATATATTTTTCTATAATAACAAATTTTTATTTAAAAAGTTACACATTAAAGAAACTCGTTCCTATTCTTTTAGCCCAAACCTCCGCATCCTATCTTTCATGTGCCCCATTCCATTATCTTTCCCTTCCACACCCCTCTATTTTCCTTTGTTTTTCGGATTCAGAACACCGACACCCCATTTCTCTTTCCCTTCTACACTGTTCTACTTTTGTTTTCCTTTTCATATTCAGAGCACGACGCCCTTAATGTCCAGTGGGTAGGGTTGGAGTGTTGGGGCCAGGGGTTAGGACTTTTGAGAGAGATGGAATGCTCCAGGCATTATGAGTATTATCGCACGGTAATACAAGCCATTCGGAGGACATAGTGAAGCTACTAGTGCCAATGCAAGGACAACGTCCTCATATAGAGGAGGGAATATGAAAAGTTCTTAGTTTTTTTTTTCAATCTGGAACAATGATTCAACATTTTGTCCGATGTTGGACATCGATTCCGCCGATCCTGCACTGTTCTGAACTTGTGTGGACATTGACACAACATCAAGGTGCATAATTGTGGAATCGTGCAATTACACGTTTTCTTTTAACTACGCTGGTGGGAGTGTTTAACTACGCTGATGGAAATGTTTGTGCTAAACACCACGTCATTGTAAACAAAACATGCAAATATACAAGTTAAATAAAGTGGTCTAAAAAAGAGAAAGAGTTATCAAAACAGCAATTGAAATCATGGGCTTACCTCACAGGGCTGCAAACCAAGCAGGTTGATAACAGTATTTACAGCTTCAGCCAAGCTCTCTCTAGGACCAAGACCGTATTCATCCACTCGCTCAAAATCAGGGCCCAAGCTTTCCCAAGCATTCCTAAAATTAGACACCCCCACTTTCAACACGTAATCTGCAGCAACAACCTCCAGATCCTCGAGCTGGTATTCATCTTCAACACCGTCATCTTCAGCCTCGCCAGAGGTAGGGTCAACCTGAAGAAGATCAGATCCAGTTTATCAAGGGATGAAATTGCTACAAAAATATTTTAGGTTATTAAAAAAATAAAAACAAACTTCATGCTTGAAATGTAATATACACGTAATCATGATATCAAGTAATAAAAAAAAAAAAAGCTTTACAAAAATAAAGAGAATGATACCTCTTTAACAATAAATTTCAGAATGTTAGAAAACTTTGCAACTGCTGGCACTCCCTCTGGCTTCTCAAATGCCACAAAAGTCTGTCCGGGTGAATCATAAGGAAGAGACCTGATAGGCTTGGAGAACACCTCAGAGAAATCATCTGCTTCTGAAGCATCCACAGTCACAATAACCTGTAATAGGGAAAAATAATTTACAAGGACCCGGGAGTTGGATTATTTTGTGAAATTTGAAGCATCTATAATAGTAATTACATCTTCCAATAATTGCTCTGGTATTGTGTTGGTGCAGTTGTACTGGAACACAACATGCCTATCAAAAATGTGTTTAATGACATTAACTGCATATTCTGTCTCAGCTTCAGTGAGCTCCACAGGTGCTGAGGACTAGTAAAAGAAAAATACACACTGATTATATAGAAAGAACAACATCAAATACAGAATTGTGAAAGAATCTAATTTTGTCTTCTGTTTAGCGTATTTATCCATCTATCTATATATAGATACATATGCTAGATAAATACATACATTTTGGTCTGACATTGACTTTAATTCAATGATGTATACATTAGATAAAAAAAAAATTAACAAATTTTCTTTTAAGAATAAAATGAAAGAACCTTAAAAAGTTTCCCAAAGTTTCCACACTCTGGAATGGTTGAAAGCATCTTCTCATATGCATCTAGAGTTGATAAGGGACCACTTGGAGGAGCACCCAAACCAGATGGCTTTTTACCAGGGGCTTTCTTTTCAGCAAGTGGCTGGGACTTGACCTCCTTGGGCACCGCGTTAATGTCAAAAGCTTCTTCTGAAGGTTCCTGCATTCATATTAAAAACATGAGAGGATGTACTATTGGTAAGCAAGAAAAATGCTGAGGACTTACATAATTTTTCAAACTATTCTCCAGATTAACAAGTGGGATATCAAATGACCCAAACAGGAAGTCCTTTACATCCTTATCAGTCTCAACAACTGAACCATCACCTCCAAGTGTGTTCAGGTAAAGCGTTGCCCTATCACGAACCTGAAAAGAAATACAACAAAAAAATCAAATATGTATTTAAATGGTTAACAATTTAAAAAATATCCAGAACTGGAAACCCTCGACTTGTGTGGGGTAGGGGTTAAAACTGGAACGAAAATAGGATGACCAGATAGATTTTATTGCAGAAACAATCTTCATCAGTATCAATGTGATACAGAATACCATGGACCATATGCATATAGATGTTCGAAATACTCAAATAACTAATGCATAGTTTTGTAGTTCACGTAAAACATTAAAATAAGGTTGAAAGATTCTCACCTCATCGTCACTGTCAAAAAGACATCGCCTTAGCAGAACAAATATGCGGGGCTGAAAGAGTAAAGTGTGAGATTCAAGTTAGCACCAAATGTGCCCAAAAATATTATAAAACATTTAGAGATAACCACTGTAAAATAATCAAATAACACCTTCAACGCATCAACTGCAGCACCAAATTTTGCCAGTGTACTCACGGCACTGGCCCTAACAATTGCATTCTCAAGATGCACTCTATTATAAATATAACGAATATATTTGCTTGGATCTGATGTTTTTGGTCCTTCAATTCCAAGGAAGTGAAGTATCTACAGTACAAGAGAAGCAAAATGGTTAACAACAAATTGCAGCATTCTAGACAAGAAATGTGAAAACTGTGAACAATGAAGCACATCAAATACCTGTGTAGACAAATAAGTGAACTCACAATCTTCAATGAACTCACAAAGATGAAGCAACCCAGCTTCCTTTGCATCAGGGATATCTCTAATGAGAATCACAATTGAATCTACAATTGCCTTCTTGTAATCAAAACCACCTTCTTCCCTAAGAATATTACTCAGGAAATTCATCCTGAAAACAATAGCAGAATACAGACCATCATAAAGGAAATAACTATCTAAGATGTAATGCATATTGGAGAGTTGAAAACTATACACTAGGACACATACAGGGATCGATATTTTAAAGGGAACTTCAGGCACAATGATCTTATTGCTTCAACAACAACAATTTTGAACTCATCAGCAATATCAGACATGAAGTTTGTGATCTGCTTCATAAGACGATCCACACTAGATTCATTTCCTGTTTTCAAAAGTGTAGTAATTGCGAGGGTAGCAATGCTTCTGTTCTGATCCGAGATTAAACTTTCCATATCAATGTTGCAGTTCGTTACTGCCATTGGATGTGTCATTGCCACCTGTAAAATTTCCAGTTTGACCATGGCAAATCTCATTAGAAAATTTAGCGAACAGTGAAACTTTTAATTTTCTATCAGCTCCTCCAAATCATAGAAGGAAAAAAGTATGGGCATGCGGAGGTTTGAGACTTGAGTAGCATTCAAATATTCCTTTATAAATTCTACGACAGCATAAAAATTACTTAAATGAAATTTGAGCAATTAAAGCAAGATTACCTTGTTCAAGGTGCGAACAGCAGCAAATCTCAAGACTGGCTTAGAAGAACTTAAAAATAGTTGAAGAACAGTAATTGCTGGAGTTAATTCTCGACCTGTTACACCATTGAGCTCTGTTATTGCCCTAGCAGCTTCAAAAATCACCATCTCTGACTTGTGGCGAAGGCAACTCTCAAGATAATCATAGAAGGGGCGTTCCCCTGACTGTGTATTATTGCCTGACTCATAAATAACCTGCATAGATGATGGAAGATAAAGATTATGAAAATATATATCATCCCAGTAACAATGCATATATGGAAGGAAACACACCTGACTAGTGTAACGGATCAAAAGGCACTGCGCTAAAGGTGATCGAACATTTCCCCTTGTCAAGCTGGTAACTAGCTTGCTAACTGCCAACCGGTCATTCTGTCGAATCTGCAATGGTTCACATCATCATGTACCGCTAATTCTCTTTAGAATTTCTAGTTGTGTTTTGTATGATAAGAAAAGTCAGATTCCAAGAAGGAAAAATTAAAATGATGCACAGTAAAATATTTATAGGATGGTTAAAGGAATAAAATTTTCCATCATGATCCAGCTTAAACTGTAAGATAATTATGTTAGACATGTAAAGAGTCAGATGGTGCCAAAATTCACAGCACTATACAATCAACGCAGGCAACTTTCTACTTATTTACCAACATGAGGTTCTAAGCTTCTAAAACTTAGTTAAGTCAACTGCAACAACGATACAATACAGAGAACTAAGCAGACACTCTACCTTTGAAAACTTTTCACTGTACTATTAGAAGCTACCTCTTCTGATGTGAACATGACCTATGATAAGGGCTAGAGTAAGGAAAGCAAATGAAGCTCTTCAACAAGTATTGTTGGTTGACCAAATTGTGTTTTTGATTAATCAATTAATGGGCTTTAGTTTAGTTTTATTGCAAGTTGTAATAAAGGCCCAATTGGAAATTTAGTTATCAGTCTTTGGGAGACCAAGAGGTGCATAACTAATTGACTTTTGAATGCCACAATTTCAGTTACAATCAATCATTAAATAGTTTTCAATTTCTAGGTTAATAAATCATTATTAGCATTTATTTTCCTTTAATGAATATTTGTAACCTAATGGAAAAACTTCTTTATAAGCTGAACCATTTTTATCATAAATAACAAGTTAAGTTTTATTTTTAGAAATATTAGAGTTTATCTCTTTTATCTTAGTGAGAGTGATTCTCCTAAATTCTTGAGTGATTCAAGAACCATTGGCTGTATCAAAGGACTTTCACATCCTTTGTGTGTTGCCTCCCTTGGGAAGAGTGATTCTTTCCTTCCACCTTCTTTCTAATTCCTAAATTTCTTACAAGGTTCTAATCTTAAAGATCCTAAATTACCCCCTTGTGATTCATATCATCTTCTAATTGATGCTGAAGTTGAAGCTAAAAGAATAACTATGAATATGCTAAAAATTACAGTTGTAGAAGACAATGTGATAAAATAACATGAACCACAAACCAAACAAAAAAATATTAATGTCTTCAGGTAAAATTCAATAAGTTTTGCTTTCTCTTTGTATGGTCAAATTCATCGTCCACATAAACTATATAAATCAAGCTCTGAAAGAAATGTACTAAATTGGTGGAAGTTGTAAAGGGAAAGAATGAAGACAAGCTCATTCATGATATTTGGCTGTGATAAACCATGAAGTGTAGTGAGTGCCCTAGAAGTAAGAAATATCCAAGCCAGCATACAAACCTTGAAAAACTAAATGACCCAAGAATTATGACAAAGTTTTGAGGTGCATGATACACCAAAAAACCTGTGCAGAACCAAATTATTTTGGAAGCATACCTGATGTAGCAAAGCCAGTGCATGAAATTGTACAAGGGCTGCTCTTGATTGAACAGCTTCCTGAACCTCATTGCTCCATCTTTTTACAATTTCAGGATTTGTCTGTAAAGGGGGATACAAAATAAGCAAGCAACATACAATATGAGGATTTAAAGAGTAACAAAAAGAAATATATATGACTATTACCTGGAGCAAATGAAAGCCACTAACTAAAGCAGCACTTGCAACAACTGGATTTTTATCAACAATAGCTTGTTTTAAATACCGCTCAATTTGGGAAAGGAGTGTCCCATCAGTGATTCGACAAAGCACTCGAATAGCATTCGCCTTATACATGTCAATTTTGCTATTCATATCTTTCATTAGAGAGCTTGTCACGATGATAACCTATTTAAAAATTAAAGAGATAGAACATTCAAAATCTAAGCTAGTAACATCAAACAACGACCATATAAAAGAATCTAAAATAAAAGAAAAGTTGCATGAGAACATGTAACCTCATCTGCAGAGGGAGAGATCTCCTTTATCATCAGGTAGACCATTCTCCTTAATCCCATATCTTTAGACTGGAAAAGCTTAGTAACAGCAAAGAAAACTTCTGTTGCTTCAACCTAGCAAAAATATAATTTCCCAAGAAAGGATTAACAGCTGTCTCTTAACATAGTTCCAAAAAGTCAATCCACAAATACGCATGGTGATGGATATCATTCTAGACCTTTGTAAACGTCTCGCCCTGATTCAGTAGGTATAGGAGTTTTGTAATAACCTGTACAAAAGATAATAAAACAACCAGCGTGAGAATTCAACCGCTGAATCATTTACAGAAACAAGATGAAAACATACGCATCCTTTAGTTCACGACACAAACCTGTGAACACCTCCTAGCATCTAGCTGAGGGTCATTAAAAACTCTGGCCTCCTGAAGAACAGACCCCTTTTCAATTCCCAGAAAGGGGGAATACTCGGCTGCTCAACAACCAAAATCACATCACAATTAGTAGCATTTACAATTTATTCGCAATTAAATCAATAGTCATGAGTAGGATTCGTCAAAACACATAACCCTGACTTGGTACCCTATAACACGTAGCAAAGCGCTAAAAATCTACCACTATCACCTAATCACCGGAAACTTAATCCACAATTTGCATTGTAAATTATCTGGCGAGATCAATTCGAACACCAATTGGAGTTTTCACAAAAGATAGCGAATCGGAACTGGATCAAACTAGAGACCATTAGGGAAGTCGGAGAGGAAAAACATAAGATTCAATAGAAGGATGTTGAGAATTGAGATATCTAAGTACACGGATGTTGAAAATTGAAATATCTAACTTAGGCGAACCCTACTACTGCATTCAAAAAGGGAAATGAAACACGGATCTGGAAGCAAAAGAGATTGATCCAACAGTAGCAATGGAGAGAAAGGAAAACGCAAAGAGCTAATGAGAGAGAAAACGGATCGAATTAGGAGAGAAGAAGAGAAGAGTACACCTTCGTCGTCGCGGTCATCGTCCTTCTTCACGAGCGGCTGAGCCATCACCAATGACCGGTGAATCTGTGAGATCTCTGTTCTGCGAATGCACCACTCAAGTTTGTGAAAGAATGAATGAGTTGCGAACGCTGAAATGAAGAAGACCGAAAATGCTCTTTGTGTTTCGTACTCTAAGATGCTATAAAATCATGTAAATAACATTTTAAACGAAAAATTACTTAGAATCTCCACCTATTTACTATATATATGTCATTTTCTTTTTCTTTTTTCGTTTATTTATTTATTATTAAATTTTTTTCACTTTTTATTTTTTATATTTTTCAGTATTTTTTTATTTTATCTTTTTCGTCTCTCATCCTATCTTATTCTTATAAATAAAAATATTAAATTAAATTTTGATAAAAACATTTAAAAATAATTTTTAAAAAATCATATTTAAATTTTAAAAAATATTAATTATTTATTTAAAGTTATAATATTATTTATGATAATAATAATAATTACAATTTTAACAAATTGAATTAAGTTATATTTAATTAAAATTAATAAAATAAAAATTTATGAATTTAAAATTAAATAAAAATAACTTAATTTATATATGATAAAAAATATTATTCATCTAATAGTTTTATTGTAAAAAAAAAATTCATACTTTAATATATATATATATATATATATATATATATATATATATATATTATTCTCTTTCATATATTTTAATTTCAACGTCAAAAACAACTTGCTCTAAACACTTTGAAATATATGTTCGTCAATTAATTTTTTTATTTTTCAATAATTTATTTTATTCGGTGTTTTACTTTTTAATTATAAATTTATATATATTCTTCAAAATTATTCCAACATTTACGAGTAATATATTCTTATTCTTTTGAAATATATTTATTAATTTTAATCTTTTTTATATTAATATTTGTGAAAATTTTGAATTTTGTACGTGTATATTTCTAATATATTTTATTTCTATATTCTGTTTATATAAAATTTTTTATATTAATATTGATAGGAATTTTTAGAGTTGGGTGGATATACATTTCTGATATACATAGTATTTTTATTTATATATATTATATATATAAAATAAAAATATGATAAAATATTAAATATTAATAATATCTTAATTATAAGTACTTAAATTAAACTAATAATCTAATTTAAATAAAATAGATTAAAATAATAATTTAATATTTTCTTGTCTTTTCTAGATAATAAATTTTTTTAATATTTAATTTAAAAAAATAATATTTTTAACATTCCTTCTTATTTTAATATTTATTTATTTAAATTTGATTGTTTTTCATTATCATTCTCAATTTTATTACTTCACTCATGTTTTTTCTTCACAGTCACTTGTAAACAAAATTTTTGATTATATTGATATTTTTTCTCGTAAGGTTGTTCCTTGGTTTCTTCTTTTCCATATTTCATTTATCTCTTAAAATATTTAAAATGTTGAGATTTTCTTTCATTGGTCTTCTCACCATAAAATATAATTTAATTTGAATAAGATATTTTCTTCTCAAAGCACCCTTTATTTTCGTTTTTCTTTTTTTAATTTCACAATTATGTTTTTTTAGCTTTTTGTCCTTTTGCTTAAGAATTTTGTCTTTGATTCATGATCTCTTCGGTTTTTTTCTTCTCAAGGATGATCTCTTCAGTTTTCTCATTCTCAAGGTGCACCTATTGTAATATTTCCTTCATCTCTAAGGATCCTTTCTCAAGCAACACTCATTTATCTTCATGATCTCTTCGGTCTTCTCCTTGTCAAGGTACATTTATTATATTATTTCCTTCATCTCTAAAGATCCTTTCTTAAGCAATTGTTTTTTTCTTAGAATCTCTTTTTTTAGCAAAAAGATATCCGTCCTTTTAATTGAGAGTTTTGTCTTTGACTTTCAAGATATTTTCGGTCTTCTCCTTAGGTGTTCAAGGTGCATATGTCTGTAATATTTCCTCCATTATTAAGGATCATTTTTCAAGCAATTGTTATTTCTTAGAGTCTTGTTTTCATTAATTATGACATTTTTTTGGTGATTTTAGAATTATGATTTTGATGAGAATTATTTGTGATATAAACACGACTTCGTTTTTACCTTCTTCATTTTTTTTTTCAATATAGATTTTGATTTTGGTTATATTAGGATTTTCAGGTAGTGGATCAATAATGTAATCCTCCTTCACAACTTCCCATACAATAACGATTTTCATTTCTCGCGTAAGAACCAAAGTTCTTGTAACATTAATAATAATTTGTTTTGGGGTTTAAAGTTTTGCGTATATGTATTTTTTATATATAAAATATATCTTAGGTATATATTTTATTCATTTACTTTACCTATACATAAAATAAATATATGACAAAATATCAAATATTAATAATATCTTAATCTTTTAAATAAAAATAATAACTTAATATTTTTTTATTTTCTCGTCTTAAAAGATAATAAGATATTTTTCACCTAATTTAAATAAAAAATAACAAATATTACAAATATTTGTAAATGAAACAAATATATTAAGATAGTGAAATGACTTTCCCTTATAAAACAAAGTTATATTGTCAAAGAATCCGATACATTACTCTGTATTTGTATTGGTATTTATTGAACTTAAAAAAATATTTCCCCAAAAGATTAATACATTTAGAATTTTAGGTCAAATCTTATTAAAAAATAAATCAAAAGAAATTTTAGGATTTAAATAAATTTTAGGATTTAAATATATTTTATTCTTAAAATTTAGTCTTATTGTTTCATTTAAAAAAAAAAACTGCTGAACTTTTGGTGGAGAAATAATTTTTTTTTATCGTAGCAATTTGTAAATTAATTTTTTTGTTGTTTGTGTTTTCATATTATGTTAATCCTTTACTGCTAACTTATCAAATATTCCACAATTAATGTTGCTTAAATATATACGAAACTAAATAATAAAGATCAAAATATAAAAAAGTACAAAAGTCAAACATTTTATTAAAAGCTAAAATAATTATTATATTTAAAAATACAAATATATATTATTTCTATTTTTTTTAACTTTAAGAAAAAAAATAGTATGATATAATTTTATTTATAATTCTTCTTCCCTGTTTTCTATACTTTTTTCCGTCTCTCAAACAAATATGCCACGAGATTTTAGTGATCAGAAAATGATACTTTGATAATCCAAATTCATACAACTCCCGTAAACAACTCTGTTTTAATATTATAATAATAGTTTTATTTTATTTTTGTTTTTATTAGATCAGTCTATAGATTATTATATTAATAAAAATGAGTTGTTTGAAGGGTTGTATGTTGTATGGTTTCTGGTTGTCAAAATATCACCACTCTTTAGCGATCAGTTTTAGCAAAAGAAAATTTTAACAACCCAAATCCATTCAACTCCTGTAAACAACTTTCTTATTAATATTATAATAATAATTTTAATTTATTTTTATTTTTATTAAATCATTCTATAAATTATTATATTAATAAAAGTGAATTGTTTGAACTTTTTTTAATATTATAATAATAATTTTAATTTATTATTATTTTTATTAAATCATTTTATAAATTATTATATTAATAAAAGTGAATTGTTTGAATTTTTTTTAATATTATAATAATAATTTTAATTTTAATTTTTTTATTAAATCATTCTATACATTATTATATTAATAAAAGAGAATTGTTTAAAGGGTTATATGATTTGTGGTTGTGAAAATATCACCACTCTTACTCGAATAAACACAAACTTGCAAACTATATATTTCCCAAACATCCTTTGTTACTCATTGCAACACGTATAAAGGTTGAATGGTGTTATTTATATATTTGTTTAATCTCATTCTAAATATTTTTAATACTAATTATTTCAGAGTGAAGGAATATGATTGTTTTTGTGAAATCAATTAAATTATTTAACAAAAAGTGTTTCGTTAGTTGATTAACATATATAATAACAATACGATGTATATACTAATTGATAAACCATGGGACACATATTTGCTCTCCAACTTATTCATCTTTTATTATCAATACATAAATAAATATGCACAACATTAACCCGACTCCAAATTTCCCATAGATGTACAAAGGAGGCTCCTCTAGTGTCACGACCCCCCACTGTCCAATGTTCATAACCTATGCTACCAGAGTACTTATATCCTACTCAACAAATTAATCACTAACTAGCAACAACCCCTTGAAACTTGCTTCAACACTTGTGGCAAGATCAGCTTTTACTTTCTTCACAAGTTCAGTTGATGAAGACATGAATTAAGGGGTGTGCATTCGGGCTCCTACCCTCCTGGAATTGCCATATTCTGCAGAAGATTGTTCGCTGCTTGAGACGGAAGGGTTAAGGCCATATTCACTGGTTACACCATACTCACTGCCACTATCTAACGCTAGTTTTCTGAACTTCATCATGTCAGCACCGTATGCCTCCGCACCGTACTCCCCGGTTTCGCCGAACACTGTACTGTGTCCAGGTTTCACTCCCTGGTGATGAAGCACTTCTAATGACACATCACCCTCCAGTACTCGCACAATCTAATTCGTTCATTCATCATGCTTAAGTTAAGCAAAACTCGTTCAAATTATACAAAAACAAACTAACATGTGACAAATTAAACATGATGAAAAATAGGATGAAAGTGGAATGAATGTACAATGATAAATAATAAGCCATGTTCTTACTTACCTGACTCATTTTCGGGCGCTTCTTTGATGAGTGCCTAATGCTAACAGCAGCACAAGCCACCATACAGACCATTTGCTGCTTGTCATAGTTACCCTCTAAGCGTGGATCCACAAGTCCTTCAAAACCTCCATCTTCCATTGCCTTTGTACAAAGGGGTCTAGCCTGTTCATGCATATGAATATATGTGTATGTATGACAGTGACGATTAATAATATGAAGTATGGGAAACATTCACAAACTGAAAGAAGGTTCCACAAATTAAAGATGGGAAGTAATAGAAACCTTGTGGGAATTAATTAAAAAATATTCGTACCCAATCGATCAAACTATCTTCAAATTCATCAGTGTTGTCTACTGGGGGCCGACCTGTTATAAGCTCCAAAAGCATAACACCAAACGAAAACACATCAGATTTCTCAGTTAGCTTACCAGTTGATGCATACTCTGGAGCCAAATACCTGAAATTTTAGACAAATTGATTAGAGTACTAAATTAGTTCACTTTCCTTGCTTGGAACTTCAGATAAACATATAGAAACAACGCGAGTATTTATAGGTTGGTTTACAGTTTAATTTCTTACCCGAATGTTCCCATTACACGAGTAGAAACATGAGTGTTGGTGTCTTGACTGAACTTTGCCAACCCAAAATCTGCCACCTGAATGAATAGATCCAATTGTTAGTTAATTATATCCAGAAGAATGAGGGGGTCACGTTTACACAATGAAATTCGATCGATATACGTACTTTGGCTTCGAAATTGTTTTCAAGTAGAATGTTTGCACCCTTTATGTCTCGATGAATGATACGAGGGTGACCTAGTTAATGTTCAAGGTCATATTAATGTTGGCCTCATCGTTAATCAACAAAAGAATAAGTACATAACTTACAATCCTCATGTAAATAAGCAAGTCCTTTGGCCGATCCAATCGCAATTTTGAGCCTGATACCCCAATCCATCACAGGTCGACCCTTTCCTGAAAAACGGTCGTAACAGGTTTTCATCGTAGAGACATATAAATAAAGGGTCTAATGCTTAATCCAAGTAAAGAAAAGTATACATTGAACCAACCAGAAGATTAGTGTAATAGACTATATTCCCTCTATAAAATCGGTGCAGTCAGGGTTAAGAGAAAAATTCAAGTGATTAAGTAAAGGACTGATGAATTTGTATATGATAAGATAAATAGTTAGAAAAGAAAGAGCGCACCATGAAGGTGGTATTCAAGGGTCTTGTTAGGCACAAACTCATAAACGAGGATCTTTTTGCTTTCTGACATGCAATAGCCAACAAGTGAAACGAGATGGCGATGGTGGACACGGCTGATGATATCAACCTCAGCTTGGAATTCTCTGTCACCTTGGCCCCCTGTGGATTTCAGGCTCTTGACTGCAATTTCCTTGCCATTGGGTAGAACACCTTTGTGGACGTATCCGAAGCCACCCTGACCGAGGAGGTTGCGTTGGCTAAAGCCACCAGTGGCAGCTGAGAGCTCGTCGTAAGTGAAGGAGCTTTGGTTGAATCCGAGGGCCACTGAGGGGTGTGGAGGTGGCAAAACGGGACCGTGAGGCCCAGAGAAACCGGAAGAGCTCACGTCACTGCTAATACGATTGGGTGGAGCCCATGCTGCTCCTGGAGGTGGAGGAATATTCATAACGTGCTCAACCTTGTTGTTGTTGTTGTAGCCGTACCCATTTTTGTAAAACCCATTATCTGCATGTACCATTCATCAACCATATCATAATTCCTCTCCTTTCAATTCATTACCCATAATCTTACTACATGATAATAATAATAAAAGTATTTGTATTTATATTTTTCTCTCTCTTATTCAAGAATTTTTTAATAATTTGTTTATCTACGATGTTGTCAAAATATATTTAAAATTGAAGATATCATATAAGATTAAATAAGAATTGATATTGAGATGATGTATATGATATCTAATAAATTTGAAGTGATAAAAGAAGAGTGTATCCAATCCAAGTTTATCACACTCATTTATCTTGAATATAAACAAATACGTACCATGAGGTTTGTTACCGTAGTAACGGGGAGCTTGAGATCTCTTCTTTCTTTTTGAAAACACAAAGATGGCTAAGAGAAGGAAAAGGATCAAAATCCCAGCTCCAGTTACAATTACTATTATAATTGGCGTGCTCAATGAATGGCTTCCACTGTCTCCAGGTGAGCTCGAAGGTGCTGACTTGGGTGGAGACAACCGTTTATGTGAAGGTGCAGGAGGAGAAAACACCAGCCCCGAACCGGGGGGCGGCGGTGACTGGGGAACGTCTGATTCGTTATCAGAAGGTGTTGTTGGTGGCGGCGGGGGCGGGGGCGGAGGAAGAGATGGGGAGGAATCAGATGACGGGGGCGGAGAGTTCTTGTCGCTTGACGAGGGAGGTGGTGGTGACGAGGTAGGAGGCGGTGAATCGTCCTTTGGCGGTGGTGGCGGAGATGAATTGTCCTGGGATGGTGGTGGAGGAGATGAATTGTCCTGTGAAGGAGGTGGTGGTGAATTGTTCTGTGAAGGTGGCGGTGGTGGTGGTGGTGAATTGTTCTGTGAAGGTGGTGGTGGTGGTGATGAATTGTTCTGTGAAGGTGGTGGTGATGAATTGTCCTGTGATGGTGGTGGTGGAGGAGATTGGGAGGAAGATGAATCGGGCGGAGATGGCATCGGGGAATCGGAATTGGAATCATCGTCAGAAGCCATGTGGAAGGATGTCTTATTCTCCAACAAAAGAGAAGGTCAAAGAGACGGAGAAGCCTGACCTGCTCCCTCAAGTAATGATTGTGGAACTTGCGAAACCTGCAAGAATAAAGAAAGTGTATACACACGTGTCCATGGAGATATTTTCTGCATGCATGCATGCATGAATGGATGAATTAAGGAAAGAGAAAGTTACCTGAGAGCCAAGGACAGGAGGGTTCTCCCGAGAAAGAGAGAAGCAAGCTGACTAATTATTATGCATTCAAATGCCGAACCGACAAATCGTGTTGCCGTTCCATGTCATCACCTCCTACAATCCAGCGCAACATTTCATCGTCACTGCAACGTTTATTCCTAAATTTAACCTAACTAGTCACCCACGTCCACCCATGCATGCTTTTAGTTTTATTGTTATATATCTACTTTTAGCCTTATAAAGCTAAACCAAAACTTGATTAACCTTTCATAAATCGCGTTTTCTTCTTCTTCCTCTTCTGGATTTTGTCTGTCACAACCACTTCAAAATGTATCTTATTGCTTCCTTTGAGGACACCATTATAGCATATATGTGACCCATTACGAACGGTTCAAAATCCATCGTGTTCAAGTTGAATCAGTGTCTGGCCTATGCATTTACGTGTTTTTTTTTTTTTCTTATAGGTGCGTGTGATGAATTCATATTATTATGTCAAATTAATTATACAAATACAAATATGATCCTAATTTAGACACGGGCAGAGAAATAAGTAGGAACTCCTATATACGATTTTAAAAAATGTCAATATATATTACTTATAAAATAGATACATAATTTTATTAAAAATGACTGTTATACTAAATAAGTAACATAAATTTAAAAAAATATATTGCATTTTTTTTCAATTTATTCATATATTATTTATTTCGATTAATTTACACTTACTTCCCAACAAAAATCACAAATAATGATTTTTTATATAAAAGATCACCCGAAAAAAAGAAGCAATATATGGTATATTTGTAAATATATATTATCTCTTTTTTTATTAATTTATATTTTTTATTTGATTTAATGGAGTTATTTAATATATTATATTATATAATTATTATTATAAAAAAATTATGAATAATTTTTTATCAAAATTAAGTGAATATATTTATATTATATGTTTAATTGTATTTTTTAGGTAATGCTTGTGTTTAATTTTTAAATTTTATTTCATTAAAACTATTTAATAAAATATGTGTAAAAAATATAATTATATAAAAAATATTTAATATAATATTTTTTATGATAATTATGTTAAAAATTGATAAATAATACTTATTATATCGATTATTTAATAATCTAACATAAAAACTTATATATTTATGTTATTTAGATTTAGGTTGATTTGACATAAAAAGTTTAAAATAAGCGAGATAAAAAATATTTTTTCCAGTTACATATAATTATTCAATAATAATTTCATGCAATTTTATATTTTATAGCTATTCTAATTTTATTTTTTCTTTTTCATTACACGCTTTCTTACAGCATTCATCTACGAAAAACATATAACCATTGTTTCCAAACATTTTTAATATTTTTATTTTTTTTCTAATAAATGTTTCTTAAAATGAAATAAATTAAAGAAGTTATTATTATTAAATTTGTATTTTAAATATAAACGTTACTTTAACCAACTTTAAAGTACAATTATGTTTCTAGATATAATAATAATTTCTTATTATTGACGCCATGAATTTTATGAGTGATTTTCTTTTTTATTTTATTAATAAAGTAAATTCACATAATTTTATGATTTCCAATCAATTTTAATCATGTTGTAAAGTATGAGATAAAGTATTACTAGCATTTCATTTTATGAAATTACTGGATGTAAATATATCTATTATTCTAATAATTTTTTTATTAAAATGCTTGAACAAAACATTAATTACCCAGAAACAAATTTGTATTAGAAGAATATTAGGTGATATTCTTTATTTTTGGTAAAAGGTAGTAAAAATGGGTAAGACTAACATTTATTTCGCATGTAAAATCATAGAAAACATTTTTACGCTGCAGCCAGAAATACACGAACACCATCGTAACTACGACAAATATAACAAATCTGCAACTAGTTGATTCAGTGCGCTGAGAGGGCACATGTGCGTAGGTGTGGACTCTGCCACTTCGATGGAGAAAATAGAAATAAAGATAGTAGAAAAGAAAGAGAAAAATGCCAAATGAAAATAGAAGTGGGTTTGAGATAAATAAAATAATAAAAACTAGTTTTTGAAATTGTTTTATAGTATTATTTTATTCATTATTAATTGTTATTACAATAAAAAAAAGTGTATAACACCTTAATGAATTATGAAGCATTTAGGAATTAATAAATAGAGCCAACCTAGATTTGGTGAAGACAGATCTAAAGTCCAATTAATATAGTTCAGTTTTAGCAATTTCTACTGGAATGGGACTGAATTTGCAAGATTCAAAGGAATTCCATTGATTGGTAAGTTTAGTGGTACACCTCTAGACGAGGATGTTACGCCAAACCGGGGAAGCAATTATCAAAGCACGTTCTTGGTAAAGCTTCTGCCTTGACTGGACCAAATACTCTCTTACCTTTCATCACAACATTCTCCATATCATGGAAAAAGGCCTACTTGGTTTCCAATTTACGCAACTGCAAGTTGAAGGAATTTACCAACAAAGACAGGGGAATAGAAAATACAAATATAATACACAACTTTTTTAGGCAATTCAGTTACTTTTTTTTCTATCAAGAAGGAAGCAAGTTGTCTAATCTGATCTTCTTCCTCGTCATCTAGAATTTTTGCTTTTACTGCTAAGTGTGGAAACTGTAACCTGTTTTAACAAAATTATTGTCATGCTTTGCCTTCTTATCATCATCTTTCACGTTGGTACCATTTTCTGAGTGATCTGAAGTAACAGCTACATCAGAATCCGCCATGCGTCCAAGGAAAACTGCCAGAAGAAAGAAATGCAATCAATGTTAAGCAACTAGAGGGATTGCATATAATGGAAAAATAGGAGACTACACATGTACATAATGAAGGGAGGGAAATTGTACTTGTAGATAATGAAGTAATGAATGAGAAAATTTATAAAAGCATGATAATCACGAGAAATTGTGTAAAGATTTATGTGAGCAACCTTCATAATGAAGTAATGAAGAGAGGTATAACCCATGTAATCACTACTACAGAAAACACTTACTACGACAGCATCCAACGTCGGTTTTTATGAAGACCGACGTTGTACAAGACGCGGTGGCAAACTTGTAATTAAGAAACAATATTTAACGTCGGTTATAAAAAATCCGACGTAGTAACGGACAAATAACGTCGGTTAGATGACAGACGACGTTAAATGTTTAAATTTAACGTCGGTTATGTATAACCGACGTTGAAATCCCAAAATCAACGTCGGTTCCATGATTTACCCGACGTCGAAAGCATTATCCACGTCGGGTTTTTTAATAACCGACGTTGAATGTCCTATGATACCTAGACTCCAAGGCGCGCAGTTGTTCTTCTCGCTTCTTCTTCGTGCCCACATACCTCCCTCCTTCAGTCCTCACTGCCGTGCACTCGCTACCTCGGCTCACGTGGTCTCGCTGCCTCGTCCTCACCGCCATGCTCGCCCTCTCGCCGCCTCTTCGCCGCCCACTCGCCGCACTCTTACGCGGCGTACCCCGTTGTTGCCGTGTGTGTGGTAACCCTCGTTTCCCTAAGGAAACCCCTTCTCATCAGAGTTAGATTAAGTTGTATGGATGATTTACAGCATGCATTTAACATAAATATGGATTATTTAGAGCATTTCCTGCGTATGAACATTAGAAAGATGATGGATGATTTTGTATGGTTTGATTTGATATAGGTTCGTTTAGGCTTTTGGAAGTTTGTTTTCGGTTTCAAAGCTGTATATACTCTTTCATGTAGATGTACACGTTTTATTTTCCCAATCTTGATGTGGGAAATGAGATGTACACGTTTTTTTGTATTGTTTTGCTAAACCTTTTCTAATAAACCTTGAATATCTAGGCAAGCCTTTTTGTGTAGTTAGATGGATCGAACTTGGGTCAATGCAAGTCGCATGTCGAAGAGTATGAGAATGGAGTTGACTCCTTTTTGAAATTTGCCAAACAAAATGCTCCCAAAATGAATGGAAAAATCTATTGCCCATGCGTTAATTGTGTAAATGGCAGAGTACAAGAGATGGACACAACGCGGAACATCTTATTTGCGATGGGATGATGAAGAATTACACCATATGGACATGACACAGTGAAGTGGTTGATATTCCAACAAGTATCACAAACTATTGAGGATGATGTAACCTGCGAAGATCGAATAGAGGACATGCTTTGTGATGTGGGTCAAGAGAGCTTTCTTGAAGCACATGCATCTATATATGATACATTGAGGACCGATTCAGAGACACCTTTGTATCCCGGATGTACAACTTTCACACGGTTGTCATCTGTGTTAAGATTGGTCAATCTAAAAGCAAAATTTGGTTGGAGTGATACAAGTTTTAATGAATTACTCCAACTTTTGAAGGAGATGCTCCCGTACAATAACACCTTGCCTGACCGTTTGTATGAAGCGAAGAAGATACTATGTCCGATGGGTTTAGAATATAGGAAGATACATGCTTGCCCTAATGATTGTGTGTTATACAGAAAGAATTCTCATCTTTAGACCAATGTCCAACATGTGGTGTATCACGTTACAAAGCGAAGGATGGTGATGATTGTAGTCGGAGAGTGGTAAAAACGTCCTCCCGCAAAAGTTTTATGGTATCTTCCAATAATTCCAAGATTTAGGCGGTTGTACGCTCACGAAGATGCTGAAAATTTAATTTGGCATTCAAAGAGAAAAACATGTGATGGGCAAATGCGACATCCATCTGACTCTCCCCAATGGAAGAATTTTGACCGTCTATTTCCAAGTTTTGGTAGTGATGCAAGAAACCTTAGACTTGGATTAGCAACAAATGGGATGAATCCTTTTGGAAATTTAAGTAGTAACCATAGTTCATGGCCCGTTTTATTGATGATTTACAATCTTCCACCATGGTTATGCATGAAGCGCAAATATGTCATGTTGTGTATGATGATTTCAGGTCCAAGACAGCCAGGAAATGACATAGATGTGTATTTGAGTCCTTTGATAGAAGACTTAACACTATTATGGGAGGAAGGAGTATATGCATTTGATGGGTATCAGCAACAGAAGTTCAAGTTGCATGCAATGTTATTTTGTACCATTAATGACTTCCCTGCCTATGGAAACTTGAGTGGGTATAGTGTGAAGGGGCATTATGCTTGTCCACATTTCGACTTACCAATGCCATGACAGGATTACCCAATTCAGCAAATAATGATGGCCCTTTAGGTTATCGACAATAACCAACAGATTTAAAGCTTCCTCAAAGGGCATTTAGAGCATAGTTGTTGCCTTCTTCCTGACCAAATTTAAATTTAACATAATCTTCTGATTTAGATGCTTGCTCACGAATTTTCTCGTCATCAACACTATCTGTTTTAGAGTTGTTGAGAAAAATACATTGAATGTTCCCATTGTCGCCGCCGTCAGAAGAGGCGGTCGGGACGACGCGATAGTTTTTTAATGACTTGCGTTTTTTGAAAGAAGTGGTTCAACGCTTTTAGGTTGTCCGATAACCAGGTTCAACCTAAAGGTGAGGTTTTCGAAAAAGGTTTGAGGAGTCGCCATCAGTGTTTTAACCTTAAACACTGAAAAAGGTAAAGAAAAAGAAGAAGACAGTGGTTTTAGAAAAAAACCAACTTTAGCCATTACAACTAGAGTTGGGTAAGGGAGTTAATTACGTGTGGGGAAGGTGTTAGCACCCCACAACGCCCCTTTCGGGTTCCTTATGATGGACTAACTTAGAAAATAAACACTTAAAGAAACTATGCTTTTACCTTTATTATTCTATCTACTTGCAGAATTTAAATATCTACATGACTTTATTATCTAATGTACACAAAGAAAGCGATAAAGAAAGTAGTAAAAAGAGAGAGAGAATAGAGAAAGAACCTCTGAAGCAAGCTTTATATTAACTCTTCGAAACTTGAGGACGCTTTTTGGTAGTCCCCGTACTCTACAAGCACACTCCTCCCGCAAAAGAAAGAAAAGTCACTCTACCGAGGGCCGGACGTCTCAATAGGAGACTTCCTTAACCGATTTCAACCTTAAACAGAAATCAGAAAGCTCACTCGAACTCCGGAATAATGCTCAGAGTCACTCTAAAGTGCCAAAAGGCTTCCTAGAGAGTGGTAGGAGTGAAAAGGTATGAAAATTCGGAGAATGAGAGCTCCTATTTATAAGAAACTGGGCTAGGAAAAAGTGGACGCCCGTCTGGACTTAGTGGACGGCCGTCCATGACAACTTTTGGCCATGGACGGGCGTCCAAGCTAAGTGGACGGCCGTCCATAGCCATAAAGTTGGCATGGACGGTCGTCTGCTTGTCCTGGACGGCCATCTGCTGTCTCTGGCAGATTTTCCGATTTTTATTGCCTCTAAAAACCCTTCCTATCTTAAATGGAACCTAGAAAAAGCTACTAGGGACTTAATGAAGTCTTGATCATCTTCGAAATGGGTTATCTTTGGCTTTATTAGAGAGCCAGGCAAGATTTGGGGTCTACAACTGCCCCCCCTTTACCCGACCAATTGACTATGGGTTAACGTACCATGAGGTTGATTGGCGGGTGAAGGAGTTAACCCTTTTGCCCGGTTGTCCTCTGGATGCTCCTCTTGTTGTGGTGGCTGACCCTCGGGACTTGTGAATGTAATCTGGTGTTGTCTTCAGGATGCTTCCTTGCTGTGGAGGCTGACCCTTCAGACGATATTCTGTGAGACTTCAGGATGCTCCTTCGGTGCGGTAGCTGACCCTTCGGCTGATGAATGAAGTTTTTCCCTCGGGATGCTCCTTTGGTGCGGTAGCTGACCCCTTGGATGGTTGTGACGCCTTAGGATGATCCTTTGATGTGGTAGCTGACCCTTCGGCTAATAAAAATTTTCCTTGGGATGCTCCTTTGATAAGGTAGCTGACCCCTCGGATGGTGTGTAGAACTCTATCTTCTGATGTCACCTTTGTTGTGATGGCTGATCCTTCCGATAGAGAAGGTGGTGGCGGCTTACTGCTCTAGCTCATGCGCCGGTATTTGTCTTCAGAACACTCCCTTGCAACAGAGTTGGTTCTTCTGACGATGTATGTGGTGGCGACTTACTGCTCTAGCTCATGCGCCGTGGTTTTGCCTGTGTGTAGGTCTTCGTCTTCAGGACTTTCCTTGTCCTGAAATGGTGGTGGCGGCTTACTGCTCTATCTCATGCACTGGTATTGAAGTCTTTTTCTTTAAGACTTGATCTGGTTTCGAACTCCCTTTTGTAAGGCTCTGCCAGTTTGAGGAATCCCCTTTTGTAAGACCCTCTTGATCAGTCCCCTTTTGTAAGACTTGATCTGGTTTTGAACCCCCTATTGTAAGGCTCTTGTTGTTGATAATCTTGAGACTACAGGATACTTTTTCTGGTAGTTGATCCTGAGGTTGATGAGTAAAAGTCTTCTTCTGAAAGACTTGGTCGGAGTCCCCTTCTGTAAGACTCGATGAGTATAAACCCCCATCCAGTTTGAAGTCCTCTTCTGAAAGACTTGGCTTGAAATGATGTAATAGCGGCTTACTGATCTTATTCATGCGCTGACTCCATGGGGAGTGATTGTTCTTGACTCTTCTCGTGTAGTCATCCAATTTGTTGACTTCCGATAGATTCTTGGTAAATGCCTCTGGAGTAGGTAGGAATCCATTGAAGTTTTGTCGATTTAGATGGTGCCTCTGAGTAGGCAGATTGCTTCATCGGAAGTGAATACTTTTGGTTTACGTTGTTTTGCCTCTGAGTAGGCTGATCCGCTTGGGCGTAGATCCTCATTTGGAGACTTGTTTTGGGTGCTTCATGTTTTCAAACACAAACATAGAGCTAGTCTCCTCATGTGCATGAATGCTTCTCGTTTTTTGTTATTTATCTGAGGCGATTATTTTTATTTTTTGTTTTTGACAAAGTCGTTTTGTGCGACTACTTTGTGTGGATGTCTTGAATGTAATCTATTTTTATTCGGTGCATCTAGAAAGTGACTAACATTTCTTGCTGGACCTTCATGATTATGCTGATGGGCTTTTCTCTTATTCATTTTCTTTTTATTAAGCCTTATCTCTTGCCTAGACCGCCCTTTTGGGGTTTTCGATCTAGCGGACTGCCTTAATTTTGCCTAGGATATCTTAGCGGGTTTTTTCCTTTTTTTTCTTTTGCTTTCTTGAATTGGTTTTTTATGCATGATTATGATTTATTCAACACAGAGGCATTTTCATAATTTGGTCAAGAGAAAAGAAATGAAAGACAATTTTATTGATATGAACAAATAGTTTATTTCTTACATACGAATTTACAAAGGAATTTAGAAGCATGGCTGGCCAAGGTTGGCTACACTATATAAGCTATAACAATCATGTCTCTGACATCTGCCCCCCTGGTTCTCCTAGTTACCTTAGTTAAGATTCTCGAGCCCAGAGTGAAGACTATGCAGAGGTTGCCTGCTTCTGGAAGGACGTTACCTTAGTCGCCTTGCGGTTTTCGGCTAAGGTAACCATTGCTCTTTTTATTTTATTTTTGTTTTTGAATCCTCTAAGTTTTGCCTAGGACGTATCCTAGCAAGGTGTGTGGATCCTAACATTTACCCAGGACGCCCTTTGCGGGTTTTCATCTTGGCGAATCATGAGCAATGCCTTCAAGCGTGATACTTCTTCACCGCATCTGAATTGACTGGGTGGTGCAGTTCTTCTCCATCCATGTTGGTGAGGATAAGAGCTCCTCCTGAGAAGGCTCGCATGACCACAAAGGGTCCTCCCTCATAATTTGTCGCCCATTTTCCGATTTTATCCTTCTGGGCCGGAAGCAGTTTTTTTATTACTAGATCCCCCTCGTGATAAGTGTGGGGGTTGACTTTTTTGTCGTAAGCCCTTTTAATTTTCTTTTGGTAGGCTTGTCCGTGACATATGGCGTCCAATCGTTTCTCTTCGATTAGGTTCAATTGATCGTACTGATTTTGGACCCATTATGCTTCTGTCAATTTTGCTTCCATGATAACTCATAGGGAGGGTATTTCGACTTCTATTGGTAGTACGACCTCCATGTCATACACGAGGGAAAACAGAGTGGCTCCTATGGAGGTCCATACGGAAGTTCGGTATCCATGCAGGGCAAAGGGTAACATTTCGTGCCAATCTTTATATGTTATTACCATCTTTTGGATGATTTTCTTGATGTTCTTGTTGGCCGCCTCTACTACACCATTCATTTTGGGTTGGTATGAAGAGGAATTATGATGTTTAATTTTGAAATATTGGCATAATTCTTCCATCATCTTATTGTTCAGATTTGTCCCATTATCAGTAACGAGACGATGGGGGATGTCATACCGACATAGGATATTTTTCTTGATGAAGGTGGTCACTACTTTCTTGGTCACATGTGCGTAGGACGCCGCTTCTACCCATTTGGTAAAGTAGTCAATGGCCATCAGGATGAAGCGATGACCATTGGACGCTTTGTGCTCGATGGGTCCAATAACATCCATGCCCCACATGGAGAAATGCCATGGTGTAGTCAAGATGTTGAGGGGTGCCGGTGGGACATGAACATTGTCGGCATAGACCTGGCATTTGTGACATCGCTTGGCGTATTGATGACAATCACCTTCCATCGTGGACTAGAAGTATCCTGCCCTTAGGATCTTTTTTGCCATGACATGCCCTGGCATGTGGGTTCCGAAGGCTCCTTCATGAATTTCCTTAGTCAGGGTTTGAGCCTCTTCGCGGTCCACACATCTTAGCAGGTTGCAGTCAAAATTTTTCTTATAAAGAGTTCCTCCGATCAGCGTGAACCCTACAACTCTCTTCCGAATGGTCCTTTTATCATTATCATTAATTCCCTCGGGATATTCGCCCTTCGTGAGGTATCGCTTGATGTCATGATACCAAGGGGATTTGTCTTCCTCACTAGTTACTTCCATACAAAAAGCTTGTTTATCATGCAATCTTATTTGGATAATCGGTATCTCACGTTCTTGATCTAAGGCGAACATGGATGACAAAGTAGCGAGGGCATCTGCGAACTGATTGTCTTCCCGAGGGATGTACTCGAAAGTGACATTTTCCATCCTCGAAATCATATTCCGGATGTACTCTAGATATGGGATCAATTTGGAATTTCTGGTTTCCCATTCACCCTTGAGTTGGTAGATGACAAGGGATGAGTCACCGAAAACTTTGAGTTTGATCACCCCATGATCTAGAGCTGTTTGGAATCCTAAGGCGCAGGCTTCATACTCAGCCATGTTATTGGTGTAGTTGAAATTTAGTCTGGCCGTTACTGGGATGTACTTCTTTTCAGGGGATATTAAAACCGCTCCTATCCCGTGTCCAAGCATGTTCGAGGCTCCATCGAAGAACATAGTCCATGCATCGTCCTCGGATACTTCGTGTTAGATATGCATGATGTGTTCGTCTGGAAAATCGTCTTGTAGGGACTGATATTCGTTTGTTGATCTGTGTGCTAGGTAGT